AACGATTTTATTGGAACTCACTAATAGATCAACACAAAATAGTGTGTAATCGTGAAGGAGAAACGCTTTAAAATGTTTTCACCAATGCAAATCTGAAAAATGCAATTCATTTGTATTTAGAGCCCCGACAATCTGACGCTACAAAATAAAAACTCTGCATAACCGCACTATGGTAAAGCATGGCGTTGGCGTCATTATGGTGTGCATGGGTCGCTGAAATCGGGTGGGGTTGATGTGAAATGACAGGCAAGACTTGACACTTGTACGGAGATTTTTCTTCTGAAATTATTTTGCAAAGGTGAATGAAATGAGAAATTAAAATGTGCAAAATGTGATTGAGAAATGTGCCAAAAGTTTAGAGCTGCGTTTGCCACCAAAAAGTGGTTTTCCCTTTCAGTAGACTCGATACAAATTCGGAGCCACTTTTTCCCTTTTATCCTCCCACTTCAATGCCGCACACTACTTTGTATTGATCTATCACAAAAACTTTTTTTTAAATAAATAATAAAGTGAGTCTTAAACAGGCATGAAAAAAAAGTCTGAAAGGCACTAAAAAAAACTTTTTTCACAATCAAAAGTTGACAGATCTTGGAGAAATTTCCTCCCTCACCTCAGATTTAATTGCCTCCCTGTGCGCCTCACCCTAATTCCACTGCTTGCCTAGACATTGTAGAACTACAAAGGTGTGTCTCCAAATTTGCGAGCATGGCTTAAGGTGAGTCAACACACCGCGCCGCTCCACACATGCAGGTCAGCACAGATCCCCCGGCGCTGACACATTCGCCGTCTTCGTGTTTGTACAAGTAGTGCAGAAAATTGCTGCGCTCAGGAGAAGAAAAAGGCTCCATAATGCCCCTTAAAGCAAGAGGAGGCAGGGTGGAATATGTATGTACGCCCAGAAGGACAAAGTGTAGCAAACAATGATTATTCTCTGACTTTGGCACACATAGTAACTGTCTGCATGAAAATATTTTCTGTTTACAACAGGAATTTATTTATTTTTGTCATTTAATTAATAAAGAGTTAGTCATTAGATATTTAAGACACCCAAGAATGTATAGATGTTCACAGAATCTGTAAACACAACAGAAACCTTTTCCACAGTTGCTTCTTTTAAATATAAAAGGCTTTTCATAAATCCGATTTCTCACAAGTACGCCATGTAATCGTTTTTCTTATTTTTTGCGTATTCTATTGATTTTGCTTTCCCAGGAGAAGACTTCATCTCCACGTCAGACTCTAATCCAGAAGATCCACGGTGCTTTGCGAAAGCTTTCATGCTCCTTTAGCATTTGCTCGTTTTTGCTACGTCAACAACAGAACTCGGATTGTTTTTACTGGGATCTTGGTTATGGACCAGCGCAGCCACCAACATGGCGTAAAGCCCACTCTTCACTGCAATCACAGCTCCAAGCCAAACCGTATTAGATGGTCAGCATCACTTTTTTTTTTTTTTTCAAAGTCTTGTCACAAATTCTCAATCGGAATCAGGACTGGACTTTGCCTAGGAAGTTCTGACACGAGTGTGTTTTGACGTAAACCATTAAACTGCAGCTCTTGACTGCGTCTTTAACCCCGTTGTTCATGGTTAAGGTGACAAACAATAAATCTCAAACCTTTCGCAGCCTCTTTTAGGTTTTCCTTCCCGTATAACCCATTTTTAGCTCAGACATCTGCCTATCAACTTGTCTTTGGTGAAGCACTACGATTTAACATAGGGATGGTTGCACCAAGGGCCAAAGGTCAGCGTTCATCTCATATGAACCAGAGCGTCAACAAGATTTAACAATTAATAACGAACTCGCACTTCTGATTGGTGTTTTGTTTACACCCGCTCGAGGAAGTGCAGCCAAATCACAAGCAAAGGGAATAAAAACTCCCATCAGAAGCTCTTTTACTTGCATGTCGGGGCTGATTTCATGCATCACAGTCTACAAAAAATGTAACAGTCACTCCCAAAACGAGCTCAGCCCTCCACTCTTCCCTTCTTCCTTGCGGTAGCGAGCTTCTTATCGGAAATGCCTGAGGAATGCCAGAATAAGAGATGAGTAACCAGAGATCAGTGTGTGTCTCTGTCGTCAGCTTGTGATTCTTTTCACTTTTTCGTCGACTCTATTTCTCTGCTTTCTTCATTCATCTGTCGTTTAATGTGTTCAAAGCCATAACAAACCCATCACCGGCGTGACTTTATCACCTTCTTAGTTTTCTTGCGCAAGCCATAAAGCCATAGGACACTTAGGTTGCCACACCTCAGCCTCGCCCATGGATCTCTCCGTGTTCGGCGCAGCGCAACAGGAAGGGGTGTGTCCAGAGTCCGACCCGCCGCAGGCCAACGTCACTGAGCACACAGTACTTCACTCATCAGGGCAGGCCCGGACTCCGTAGCCTGCAGGCACAACACAGTGGAAGAAAGGGGAGACAAAAAAAGAGAGAGAGAGAGAGAGAAAAAAAACAGGAAGGAAAAAAGAAGGGCAGACCAATGAGGGAGTGAGGAGGTTAGCAGAGGATAGAAAGGCAGAGAAATCATAGGTTTGCGAAGAGCTTAGTGGATTCTGGCCACAGGACTTGCGCGCTCTGGAGCAAACCGACAGGGCCAAAGATAGAAGCAAGAATCGCAGAGGTTCCCGTCGAGAGGAGGCTCGCCGCTTACCTTTTCGTCATTAGGAATATTATTTTGCAAGCCGACAGACAATGACAATGAACTCTCAGCAGCAGAAGTACAGGAATTTCTCCACTGACAGCCTGGGGAGAGACAGGATGCCCTCAGATGATGGATATTACCAAGGAATGCTGAAGGCTACGGACGGGAGGAAAGGTACCAGTTCGGCTCCACTCAATCGCAAGCCTTGATCTCGATCCGTTGCTTCAGAAGTATGTGAGGAGCTGCCGGGCAGGAAGGAAGTTTTGGGTTGTTTTAATGGGAAGAAGGAAAAGCAGAGCTCAGGTTGGAGAACTTCATATCAGGCGTGACTGTTTCACTTGTCGTTTTTCAGAAACTCTTTCACAGACAGTGGATATGAATACATTAGAGGATTCTATTTTATGAACTGTGGCAGAGTGACTTGCATTTTTAAAAACGAACAGGATACCCCCTCCTTGTTGCACCAGCAGCTTCCTGTCTTGTCACCAAAGCAAAGGTTAATCACAAATTCCCTTGTGCTTCATGAGCCTGTTTGGAAGTCAGTCACTACAGCAACAGTCTATTTATCTCTATTGTAGTCAAAATGATTAATAAGCTATATTTACATTCAGATGCTTCCTCTTTTTTTCTGTTTACAAAAGTTGTGACTGCCTACTGTAAAACAGTAAAAAAAAATACCTATATTATCTCCAATCATGTTACCTTTTCGTACTTAATGACCTTCCTCCAAGTGTTGACTCCTTCACCTTAGTGATTCACGTTTATATATTGCATCTTGCATGTGATGCATGAAGGTCACTCAGCCTCTAAAAGCTTTTCTAATACAGTTTATTTAAAGGCAGAAACGCACCGATTGGGCTTTTACTGGACCGATACCGATGTCCAGTTTTCTGGCACATCCAATGAATATGATAAATTAAGAGGGGAAGAAAAAACGATGGAGGTTCTTCTGATAGATCTGAACGTATCGGATCAGATCCAGCTTAAAAATTTATCAAGCTCAGAAAAGTACATTTAACGCCAAACTGATGTGTTTGTTGATTAAAAATGATCAGTTTTATAGTCACCTGCAATTATTTTTCATGTTATTAAAAAATATCTGATTTTTCAGCATTTGAACTGACATTGAGCAATGATATTGTGGTAGGGTTGAGAGGGGTTTTGCCCTCACATTTCCTTTGGAGATGACATTCCCCCCCCCTCTTTGACAGGAAGTTGAACCACTGAGGTCACATACCTTTCCTCAGTGCATATTGCTTTGGAAATAAAAGAAGCTCTAATTGGGAATGGACAAGGTTTTCCTGGTAGACCGTTTCATAAAACATGCATATTTGCTGTCTTGGGAAGTTAATGTAGCCGGTGGGTGTGAATTTTTCTGTTTGTGTTGAATCAGTGTTCTTCGCTTTGATTGCTGGGTGTGTTGGTGTGTGAAGGCACTCGGGTCACACCCTTACACTGATAACACTGAGTGAACTTTGTGTGGTGACGTCATTGGAATGAAATTGACTTAAACCTCGCTAAAGGAGATGTCCCTGTGAGAGACATGGAGTGGTAGCTGGTTTGTGCTTTTTGGCTGTCAAAGATGATTAAATCCGCTTGGTTAAAAAATTTGGACAGCTCTGTCAGAGAGCCAGAAACAGACGCATTCCCATAATTGAAAGTTGCAGAAACACACCTTGTGGTTTTCTGCGTTTTCTTTTTTTTTTCCTCCTCCCTCTTGAACATCACAAAACCACATTAAAAATGTACGCTTGTTGTGTTAATGGGTGTGTTCGGCACCTACGTCTTGTTCTTTCTTGTCGGGGGGGAAAAAACTGCTCCTGCTAATAGTTTTCATGCCAAGTTCCAACCTCACAGAGAGTCCTTGCGCTCACCTGAACACTTCGTCTTCCAAATCTTTTCATCCTGGGGTTTGTTTTGTTTTCTTGCACTGATGTCATTCGGTGAAACATGAGCTTGCGCCGGACAAATGGGGGGCGAAGGTGCTGTGATGTAGCCTGAGTCAGACGGCGGCGTACGCCGAAGTACTTTTTCCGCCCAGCGAGGGAGTTCTGTGTCTCTGGCATTGTTGTTGTGTAATAATAGTGTTATGGTAAATCTGGTGGGATGATACTTGCAATATGCCTGCTACCGCCAGGAGGCACAAAAATAAAGGGATTTGTGTACACACCTGAACTTTCGCATGCAGAATGGAAATTATGCATCACCTTCACTACTTATGTCAGCGTTGACATAAGTAGTGAAGGCAAAATCAGAACAAAAGGGCCCATACCGGAAATCTTCAGTATGAATACATTTAGCTTTCCAGATTTGTGTTGTTTGTTTCTGATGCATGAACCACGGTGTCTCTGTGTTCCAGATGAACGAGATCGGGTACAGAAGAAAACCTTCACAAAATGGGTTAACAAGCATTTGATTAAGGTAAGACCGTCCTCTCCTTTCAGGGACGAAACACACATTAAATGGCACATTTTTGCACACACCTGCATTCAATCAGGTTCATTAAGGAGGAATGTGGCCTCGCTATAAACTGTGGCCATTCAGGATTTGTGAAAGATGTGGTCCTGCTGTAGCTTTAAATATAGGTAAATATCTCGATACAGCGTTTACTGTACATCCACCAGCATTGCGATGTGTGATGTAGATGGGTTGATCAGAGTTTTGTGGCCAGTTTCTGATTTTCGCCCAGCTCCATTTTTTCCCCAGCCGTCAAGTGACTCTCTCACAAAATGTACTTTTAATTTTAAAATATTTGGGGATTAGCATCTTGTGTTAGCGTTTAGCATGGCTAGCATGACTAAGGCAGCAGCTGATGTAGGATTAGGCTCATTCAGAAAAATTAGAGCAACTGTGATGTCATGTCTGTCTGTCTGTCTGTCATTACTTCTCCCTGACTTCCTTTTTTGAGGCTCATTGATTCAGAAAATATCCGTCTTGTTTTTCTTTTTCACCAAGCAACCGCTCTTACACTGATGAGTGTTGTAGTTATGGAGACTTATGTTTGCTGGTCAGAAGAAGATAATAGTATCTGACTGGCTAGTTGCTACGGTGACGGCTGATGACTCCTGAAAATCGACCAGTTTCACTCACATTCCAGTTGTGTAAAATGACAATCAAACGAGGATTTCAAGTCCATTACTTGGCCAGATTCACATCCAATTGATCATTTTTACGAGCGACTCACTCAGTCGTCTCATCAGGTCTCCGTTGAGCAGTGGAGAGCGGTCTTACATTTCGTCTGCTTCATCTCTGTAAACCGCTGTATCCCCTGGCAGCATTGTTTACATCCCCTGTAAACAATGCTGCCAACCTGCTTCCTCCTGCTTGTATAAACACGGGCTGACTGGTCGGCCTTTGTCTCACACTCAGACACTCGCATTTCAGAGTGATGGCGAGGCTCACTAGGAGTCCAGCCTGTCATCAGCCGAGGAGCCGTGCAAACCTCCGATCAATCACCTCCCTCATTCTAATCCCAGCCTGTGGCCTGCAAGCCCACCAGAGAGCCATTCATTCACAGAAAGAGAACGGTTCAAAAGAGGAATGGAGGGAGACCCCACGCCGTACCATGGAACCCGTCATTAGGGTTGAAACTCGAGCCTTTTTGACTCACAGGCCTTCCCTCAGGGCAGTTAAAATATTGCTTGGTTCACCTTCATTTCAGGGAACTCCCACTGGCAGCAGCACATTCACAGCTTTGTGTCTCCACGCTGTGTTCGGCTCATAGACACTGGGCCATTCATTTGTTCAAAATGAAATCGAAGGAAAGCAGGAGGCTTTTTTCCATGAATGAGCACCTCTGGCACGGTCGGCGATGACTGTAAGAGAGCTAATTTTGGACAATTTCTTTGTTTCTCTTGACTTTCTCTGTGAATGTTGGATGGCGGGTCGAACACATCTGGTCTCAGTTAGCTGCCGCTGCAAAGGCGGATTCTGTTCTCACCCTAAAGCTCATGATTGAAGCTCACAGTAGCACATGTGCTGCCCAGACTCCTGGGTCTGGTTTCCTAGTTACCATCATACCCAGTTTAAGCTCAATGGCACGTACTGAGAGTTTTGTAAGTATTCATATAGGCAGGTCAAAAAAAAAAATAAGTAAAACATCTGTTCTTAACATACTTTTGATGAGATACCAGTGAGAGGATTAAAGTTGCAGGATGGACACGATGACAACATCATAGTTGTTTAGTCCCTGCACACTGTCAGTCATTTGGGTGAGAGAGAGAGCTAATATGCATTTAGCTGTTTGTTAAAAAATGCTTTCAATCACAAAAAAAAGCAAACCAGAAAGTCATGACCAGAAAGTCATGATTTGGAAAGGCGGGGGACCCCTCGGTCCTGCTCGGGTGACGCTTCTTTAAATCAACAAATTCAAACAGTTCCTTCTCCGTTTTGAAAAAGAGCAGCGACAAGAAGGCAGACGATTTTCTAGATCTTCCTGTGTAAAGACAGTGATGCCGAAAAACACACAAACTCTTTCCTCAGTGTCGTCGTACCAGGGGATTCTCACAACCTCACAAGTCGCCATGTGCAGAAAATGGAAGGTCAAACACGAACAAAAAAAACAAAAAAAAGAACGTGGTGGAATGTGATATGGAAAGAGTTAACTTTAAAGGCCCCTTGCTGAGGTTAAACTGATTTAATGACTTAATAGTCTGCTTGAACGGCAGCAGACTGGAACCTACCTGGTTAGTGAAAAGTTGTAAAAGGCCACGGGGTGTTGGTCCCGACTCACTAAGTCTCTTCAACTTGCACCAGGGAAGCCTGGAATGTCGGCGCAGCTGCAGATCGCGAAAATGTTTCTGTGCAGAGACTCCTCCTGGGCTTTTCAGGTCCAAACAGAACATAAACGTAATAGAAAGCTATGTTGGAGTGAACAAAGCTGGAGTTTTCATCTTAGGAAAAAAACAATAAAAAAAACAACACATATGAAACAAGGTGAATCAGACCATAAAGAGATACAAAGGCTTTCTAACTGAGAGGATTTACAGATAAGTTCTGACAAACAGTGCAGTTTGTACAACAGTCTGTTATCTTTCAGCACTAAATGTTCAGGTAATCTCCTGCATATACATTTACAGATGCGTCAGAACAGAGTGCTGTAATTACCAGGTGTTGATAGAAGACTCTTTTATACAGTCATACACAAAAAAGCAAGTGTGTTTTTTGGCATCTGATCTCATATTCAGTTATAGTTTTATAAGATATTTCTGTTTGGTTGGATTATTTTTAAAAAGCAGCAAAAAATATATATATATTGCATATATATTTCACTGTCGTGTATACTCTGAGTGTGTAAACAGTGACTCCTCGTGGCCATATGGCGTATAGCAGGGATTATCTATACAGATTGTTCTTCTCTAACTTATAACTTTCTTTGCATTTCATGGTCTGTCTTCACTAAGCCTGGGAGGGCAGAGGTAGGTGATAGCATGTTGAAATAAGACTGTGTGTTTCCTCAGTGTCTGTCTGGCATGGAAGGTCACCCCTCCCCCCAGCTTTCACCCCCCCAGGTTCCTAAGATAAATTTTCCTGGCACAGTCACATTTTTTTTTTTTTTTTTTTTTGCTGTGTTGGCTCACTTCCCGTTTGCAGCTGCACCACAAACCGTTAGTGACTGTTAGTAGCAGTGAGAGACGCCTACTGTTAATTTCTTCTAAATGTTGCCAAAAACCGTTTCTTTTGGTTGCGACTCACCTTTTTGCCACTTAAGGTGGACTTCTGTTTCTGCTTTGAAACATGTCTGCAACCTTTTTTGGAGATCTGGAGCTGCAGTCAGGCTTGGCTCCTCGAGGCTGTGCATTCCTAACCTGTGTAGAGGTGTGATAGTCACAAAGCACTGCTGCACACTGTTTCTGCTGCTTTACTGTTCTTTTTGTTGTTTCTTTGATCCTAAAATGGTATCAAGTGTCAGACACACTGAGCAGAATTGAACTCATAAAGCTGGTGTAAAAGAAATCATAAAGCGTATTCCGAACAACTGAAAGTGGACAATGCTCTATGCAACTCATGCGGTATGTGACCTCCAGGTAAACCAGAATCCAGAAGGTTTTGTAGGAGGTGTGGAAAAAATTCCACTCATGCAAAAATGCAGCATTGACTTGTTCACAACACCATCTGATGAGTGCAGGCAGAATGTATGCCGACTATTTGGAAGTGGCTTTCAAGTCACAATAAATGTTGCACATATTTTGTAGAGGAGATAGGCTGTTTCTCTGTGTCTGCGTAACCCTAACTCTAACCCTTGTGACGCGTTCTCTTTTTCTCTCCACCCCTTTTTGCCCCCGGTAGGCGCAGCGTCAAGTGGCAGATCTGTACGAAGATCTGCGGGATGGACATAACCTGATCTCGTTGTTGGAGGTCCTCTCCGGAGAAACTCTGGTAAGTTGTCAGTGTTTGCGTTGAGACGATGCCAAAAAGAAAATTGTGCTTGAGCGCGGCATCTTTTTTTTTTTTTTTTTAGCTCAGCAATGCTTCACAATTTAGCTTAATCCTGATTTATTACAATAAGAGGCAATTATTTAATGTGGGATTTGCGTCCTCTGGGAACAAAGCACAACGAATCCCTCATATATTTGATGCTGAAGAACTATTTGTAGATTTGCCAACGCCTCTTATTTTCTCTATTTTGCCCATTTTGTTTCAGTTGATCTTTTTTGATATATTTTTGGGTTAAATCCAGCAACAGGCAGTTTTTTTTAACCTTTATTTTAGTATTTTTTGCCTTGAGCTTCAGATCCGTGCAGTTTCTCTGCTTACAGCTGCTGTACTTCATCGCTACTAACATCTGCTCCAGCTCTGCACATCTTCTGAATGCCTTTGAAACTGTGACATATTAATGGCACCGTTCTGGTCCGTGTGTACATCTGTGAAAAGTTCTCCAATATGATCCACAGTTCTATTCTGCACCCCTTCCACCTATTCCTCTCTCTTCTCCTTCTTCTTCCATTGCCCTTCCCTTTAACCTCTGTTCTGATCTTTGCTGTGCGGCCTTTGCCTGCTTTCCGTCACATTTCGCTTGCTAGCCGAGGGAGAAAGACATGGTCAGGAGCGTTCGTCTGGTGAGTGGCTTTGGAACTTATGGTTTGTCCCCCCTGTCATGTTTCCACCTGCCCTGTGTCACTGAGTTGGCTGTTGCATGGCATCCATAGAACTCCACTGTGGAAACTTGTCCTCCTGTGGATCTCTTTAAGTTTCTTTCATTGGCTTTTCCGTGTGTCGCTGACAGGGAGGGGTTGAAAAGGCATTGATGGTAAATGAACCGCACCCTGATTTTTGTAAAGCAGTGGCCTTCTACAAGTTGTTTTTTTTTCCCCAATTCGTCAACATGACAATGCTGTGTGAGTCGCATTATAAACAGGTTTGGAGAGTAGACAATAATCTGGCTAATCAATAATAATTTTGTACAACCTCAATCTTACATTGATAGATCGGCCCAAATTCCATTAATTTTTGATGATCGATTAAATAATCGCTAGATAAGATAAAACCCATCTGATCTAGCGACGTTATCTACCTCTGCAAAGGCATGAAAATCAGCCGCTGTTTCTTTTCGCTCTGCTTTGGCTGATTGACAGATACACTGTCAGATACACCCACCAGGACACTGGTGCACTTGACAATAGTCACCCCACTGTTGTCACCGATGCTAAATTTGACGAATTTCCAGACAAACAAAAATCAGCCTTGTCCAAATTCGGAATCGTCAGGTCAGTATTTTCAGGGATCCGTAATCAGGTAGAAAACTGCAATCGGTGCAGTTTTTCAACAGTCTCTGTACATCTTCCAGTCAGCCATGCTGCAAAGCTTTCTGCCTGCCTGCTACTGTCTGAAAGTCTCCTTCACTTAACACAGCCTAATTGAACTGTGGCACTGGAAATTGTCCAGTTTCAATACATGATGCATAGACTGGTGCTTTAAACTAATTTACCAAAAGTAGGTATAACCCATGGATTATGTGGCATGAGCCACTATTCTGGGGTAGCTAAATCCATTCATCCACTTTGTTGCTTACTGATGGAAAAACAAAAAAAATAACAGTAATTACAGTAAGGACAAGGAATCTGTGCCTACCTCCTTATTTTTATTTGCCATTTTATTTAACTTTGCATTACCTCATCATTTTCTGTCGATTACACTCATCTCACCACTAATCTGACTTATGTTGCTGATGTAACTCATTTCTTCTTTCTGTGCTTTCCTGTTCCCTTCCAGCCCAGAGAGAAAGGCCGGATGCGCTTCCACAAACTCCAGAATGTACAGATAGCGCTGGACTTCCTGAAACACCGGCAGGTACGATGTTTAAACGAGCCGGTCCGCTGTGCCCGACGTCACTGCCGCCGGTCGCTCCGGTGACCGCGTCCTTTGTGTTTCGGCAGGTCAAGCTGGTGAACATCAGAAATGACGACATCGCCGACGGGAACCCCAAGCTGACACTGGGGTTGATATGGACCATCATCCTCCACTTCCAGGTCTCCTCATCTGTCAGTGTTGTGTTCCATTTTTATTATTACTCTTATCCTGTCTCTCTGGGATCTGAGCTGCTGCTGCTTCTCCATCTCCTTGGAACCAATCAGTGGGAGACTTTGCCTTCTCATCAGGACACATTCACTCTTCCCATATTCCATGAAGTAACAGACTAACTTTGCTGAATCGCAACTGTTGAAGGAAACAGCGCACCATTAGGGCGTGCCGGCATTAGTCACTCTCCCTTTCCCCCACCAAAGGGAGGGTGTGTCACGTGGAGTATCCTAATTGTTGGCTTACTTCTCTGCCAGTCCACACCCCAAATGTCCAGGAGCTATTGTAGCTTTTCCTACAAGAGCTGCCAGGCAGAAATCCCTGGGCTTCAACCTCACAGAGTCCCACCACCCGCTAAAGCCCAGTTTGGGTTTAGATTTCACAAAATAAAGGCCAGGTGATAGACAAGCCGATGTGATTGTTTAGTAATTCCATCAGCTGTGCCCCGTTGATATGGCGTCTTTATGCTTTTATACAATAGTGAATAACAGGAGGCAGGCGGGATGTGGTTTCTGGTGAGTCATAGAAAAATGAAACCACCCTGGAAAGAAAAAAATAAAAATAATTGCAGTATTTAATCCAGTCATTTTTTAAATGCAGAACAAAAGATGAACAGTAGCAAATTAGACGGGCGGCTTCGCCAAATCAGATTAAAACGACCTTCTGTGAAGAATTTTCCCTTTTTTCTTTTCTTTGTAAATATGTCTGATGGACTTGGAGCCTCGCTGGCAGCTGTGAGTCATCTTTTCTGTGCCCAAAGTCCCCAAATGTAAACTAACCTGGATCCCAGAGACAGAGTCACACCAGACCAAGCAGGAATCCTCAAAAGTTCTGCAAACAAATAGTTTCAACCTCATTTTGTTTCAGGTCATGGAAAAAATAATCTCTAAAGTAATTTCAGATTTCAGAACATATTTATCTCAGGCTTTTTGTTGTTGTAAATCTTCTGATTCTAATAAAACCAATAAATCCATAAATTGCCAGAAGAGGAACAATAACAATCCTGAACCAAATCAACTCTGGTGGTGGTCGGTAGTTTCATGTAATTGAATCTTTTGGTTTCCACTAATTACTATATTTATTCCTTTACACACGTTATCCCAAGTCTCTCCCTTTTCTATAGACTTAAAACCGTTTTTTCTTTTCCTGCGTGCCTGGCATCAGATCTCAGACATTCAGGTCAACGGCCAGTCGGAAGACATGACCGCCAAGGAGAAGCTGCTGCTCTGGTCCCAGAGGATGACAGACGGCTACCAGGGCATCCGCTGCGACAACTTCACCACCAGCTGGAGGGACGGCAAGCTCTTCAACGCCGTCATCCATAAGCACTAGTGAGTGTGGAAAGCTGATCCCTGCATCAATGCCAACCATCTCGTTCGGGTGAGAGCTGGTGCAAGCACGGACAGGAAAGTCTGCTGCGGATCGCTGCACCAGCACGCTCCCTCTTGGTTTATGCTTAATAAATGTACCCTGTGGCAATAGAAAACCAACAAATCAACAGGAGTATCTCATCGCAATTTAGTTTAATTTAATACCGAGGGCAGTTCGGCAGGAGGGAGTGCTTGGAACACTTTCAGATGTCAGATTAGCCTTCCTTTTGCCGGTTAAAACCTGCTCCCTGCTTCAATCTCAACAAGAGCTCTACTCCTTCAATAAGTCATGCATAATGACGGTGACCTGGCTGCTTTATGGCGCCGAGGTCAGCGCACGGTTAGGACTGTGGTGCATCTTTAGCAATAGATGGTCTGCATTATGTTGTGCGCTCCTGCAGAAATGGAAATGGCGAGCTGTAAAATAGGTGTTCTGGTTTCACTTTCCAAATGTCTCCCTCAGATCCATCTCTCATTACTGCATTGAGACTACTCAGTCTCCTGCTGCCTTAATGAAATATGGGTTCAAGTGTTTAAGCCTTAAGGGCTTAGGTAATAGCAGAGGATCTTGGCAGTGAGTGATTCTCCACCGCCTTTGGTGTTCTGTTAATAACCCCTAATTTAAAAAAAGTAAAACACAGAAGGTTTTACTAAAAATCCCGAGTTCTTAATGTACCTTAAATAAGGTGGCTCATGTCTAGGTGTTGTTGACTCTTTGTCAGACTTAAATGGAGGTTGCGTGTTTACATCCTGGGAGGTGAAGGTGCATCTATTTTTCTCAGGAGGATTTTCTCCCCGTGCGCAAACAGGGAGAAAAGCGGGATTATATGAGATGGATGTTTTTGTTTCTGCCAAGCGTTCACAATTTGAACGGAGAGCATACCTGCAGGGGCAAGTTTTCTGAAGATTAAACCAACCTTCAGGGTTTTCTTTTCTGTATTAGACGCTCTTTGTTGCTTTTCATGAAGGCCAGGGGTGTGGCGTATGGGCGTAACTGTAGAGGGCTCTGAAACCCGTGCCGCTGATTTGATCCGAGGCAGAAGTCAGGAATACCGCTGCGGCACTGAAGATTCTCTTGACTTTATGTCCAAGATTTCAACCTGGAGATCTGCTGATGAGGTCAAGGTTCACAGTGTTGACTTGAAACTTAGGAGCAGTGACTTGATTGGGCCTCCAGGAGCCTTTTTCAAAAGATACAAGAGGACATTCAGAAGACCAAGCACTCCTGGGACAGCACAGGATGGATCTTTGAGCAGTGACCAAACCTATTGTAGGGTTGTTTTTCTTTCACGGAGTACATGCAGCTGCAACTAGATCCTCTTCTCTAGAGTCTTTTTGATTACAGACCAGCCTGCAGATTATTAACATGCTCAGTCTGAGAAAGAAGTCTAAGCAGAGGAAGGGGAGCGCTGGATTATTCCGAGGGGTGTCAGGATCCGTCGGCGATGTGGACAATACTCGGGTGGTCATGTTGTGCGAGGACATCCCGTCGGAGGAGTCCTCCTGGGACTCCGGACGGGGTTCCCACAGCTCGGGGGCCCGGTCCGGCAACGAAGAACACAGCCAAAGTTGGAGGAGTCAGAGCTTTCAAGAAAAAGGACGGATGGCCTCGAGCTTGAGCTGCTCCTCCAGGCCTACCAAACAGCATTCTGTCAGGGAAGTGCGGCACATGGATCCGGCCGCTGCTGTGTACGGACAAATTGCTGGCCACTCCACACTGTGCATCAGAGAACCGTATGAGTTTCAGCCTGCTTTGGTTTCCAGTAGATATGTGTTTGAAAATGTAACATTGGAGGTCTTTTTTTTTTTTTTAAAGAAAACGATGTAGGTATATGTCATTTAAAGCTGCGGGATTGTTACCTGGGGACGCGTAACGGTAAGGGTGAGGTTATGCGATGCATTCAATCATCCTCCTCTGCACTCCAGAGTCTTGAACTTTTGTCTCCCGGTGCAGTCAAGCCGTGGCTGGTCGCTGACTTCGAAATGTGTCAGCTCTGATTCTGCTTTCTGCTTTCTAAATTACATTCCATCTATAGATGCTCTGACATGTGCCAGGAAGAGTCTAACAGCCAGAGGACAAAAAAAGGCAGGTGCTCATGTAGAAAGAGAACAGGTGGGGTGTTTTTACAGCATTTAGCCATGGGCACAAAGTCTTAAACAACTCCGATGCCAAAAGATTCGCAAATGCATTTAAAGCACAATCGTATAGCAATCGATGTGCAGTTGCCATGTTCCCCAGAATGCTTCTGAAGCAATAGTTAGATAAATAATGGATTTTGCATTTGTTACAAGGCTTAGTTCTCTCAATGAAGTTACACCACCATGGGGCGGTGTGTAATAAATCAAAATGTGGTATTTCTCGAGATTTTTCAGCGATAGAAAAATCTCTTTTTGTTTTCTGTTCACCAGCCCCAGGCTCATCGACATGGGCAAAGTGTACCGACAGACCAACCTGGAAAACCTGGAGCAGGCCTTCCACGTGGCAGAAAGAGACCTGGGTGTGACCCGCCTCCTGGACCCCGAAGGTACGACCGGCCGGCTTCCGTTTTAACCCAGAGAGGAGCGTCTGCTGTCGAATGCCATCAAACATAGTGTTACTCCTAACGTTTCAGATGTCGACGTCCCGCATCCCGACGAGAAGTCCATCATCACTTACGTTTCATCTCTGTATGACGTCATGCCTCGAGTCGACGTCCACGATGGCGCCAGAGCGAATGTAAGCAGAACTTGAACCTCAGCGACCATTTTGAAAAATGCTTTCCATGGAACTATCATTTTTCTTTTACAGTACCTCGCGAAAGCTTTTTATACCTTTTCAAAATTTTCACATTTTGTCTTTCTTATAACTTACAATCCTCATTATATTTTATTAGGACTTGATGTAAAACATAAAAAAGTTTTTTTTTGCTTCATCTAATATGCATGATGCTGATGTGCCTCACAAACTTTTTGCATGTAGGCCAGAACATTTAGATGTGGTTTTATCTTACTGCAGCACCCTCTACTAGACGTTTGCTTCCGCTTGCCTCTTCTCCATGAAAACAGACATGTGCAGTGCAGGGCCAGTAGTTGTCCTTTCAACTGATTTTCCCACCTGACCTTTGAAATCCTGTGGTTTTTCTAGAGTTACCTCTTGGCTGCTTCTCTGATTAATCCTTCCCTTGTATGGCCTGTAAGTTTAGGTTGGTGGTGGCCATCTCTTAGTTTGGATTAATCTCTTTCCATTTACAGATAAAAGATTGACCATTGTTTTCAATTTTCCTTTTGACCTGTGCTGTTTTCCTGGTGTTTTTGATAATGCTTGATCACTTCTGTTCTCTAAAAAACTCTGAGGCATTCACTGAGCAACACCTACGCACAAACTTGTATCAGTCAATAACAATTTTTTTAAAAAGTCATGTAAATTACATACACAATGTCATAGATTCAAGTTTGTGTTTGTAATGTGTAAAAATGAAAACGCCAAAATGCTTTTAAGAGGTTTTGAGCGTTTTAGGGGTGAACAGAAAAGTTTACCTTAATTTCTGGAAATCGGCCAAACCCTAACCCTAACCCTATCTGCCAATGCCTACCAGTGAAGCCGATCGTATCCACCGATCTCATGTACTTCTAGTGTTCATGTAAAAAAAAAAAAATCTGCATCGACCTAAATGGGACTCTGTTGGTCAGGCATTTTAAAAATCATCAGAATACTTCAGTCGGTGCACAACCCTTTTACTAGTTCAAATAGAAATCCAGCTCTAAGATGCTTTTAGCTAAAGGACAATTTTGACAGCGTAAAAATAAATAAATAAATAAATAAATAAATAAATCATCTCATCTGAGAAAGTTTTAAAAAAATTTGCTGCCTTGAGACTCTTCCCATTGTCTCTCCCTTCGCCGGCCTCCTCCCCTCAACACAAGACGTGGATTGTTGCCACCTAATTGAATTCAGGGTGGTGCGTTAGCGACCCAAAATGGACCCTCAGCAGCATAAGAGCCCTCCTGTTCACTGTTGTCAAACTCTCACATGCCTCCTTTCTGCTGCGCTGGCCGCAGGACCTGGAGCTACGCTGGCAGGAGTATTACGAGCGGGTGACCCTGCTGCTCCAGTGGATCCGCCACCATGTCACCGTCTTCGAGGAGAGGAAATTCCCCAGCAGCTACGAGGAGATAGAGGTGAGTCCCAGACCCAGCCGACCGCTCACGTTTAGACAACTTTGAAGAACTTGTGCGTAATAATCGAGAATGGGGATGAGAGTCGTTTTGGCGTTGAGCCAAAGAACGCACATGAATGATGTTTGCATAAAGACAGCTGTGGTTGAGGTATTGTGTCGTGGGTGTGGCAGAACGAGTGTTGAGTAAATACAGCTAAAATCTTTAATTTCATCCCCCACCCTGCCGCTCCCTTGTCGGCACGGCTGAGCAAAAGGATTATTTTGTGTCAGAAATTCATTTATTGCCAGGATTCATTAAAAGCAATAGATTTTTATTAGTGGAAGCGCTCTTTAAAGACAGCCCACAAAGTTACTGGGCAGGGTGTTTTCTGGCTCCTCTTTAAAGGTTGTGAATTGACACGATTCAGTTCCAGGTTTGATTGAATTTACACCAGTCATGGGAACACGTCCTTTCAGAAGAGGCCAGGAGCTGCATGTGATGTAGTTTGATTTGTTCATCTGTTGAAGGCATTCAGCCGCTTTCATTAGAGAATGGAGGAACAATTTAACAACACAGCTAGCATGTAATTAGGGAAAGCTACCTCTGTAAAAAAATAAAAAGCAGGGGTGTGGATTTAAACGGCATCTGAAGCACGGATTCTATAATTGAAGTTCAAAAGTTGAAATCTAGATAAGGTCAAAGGTCAGAAAGTACTTCTTTTCATTTAGCTTGTCTGGCCAACGGTTGTTTGTGACTCCATCTCTGCAAAATAAAAAAATCCCCCGATTGACTAAAACATAAAAGTCTCATTCTTTGAATATGGTTTCCTTGGATAAAACCTTTTAAAGCTACTTTTTAAAAAATAAATAGTTGAGCGTACTGTACCGTTTGATTGAACTGAAAATATTTTTTGCAAAGTGCTTTGAGACGACATTTGATGTGAATTGGCGCCATATAATCACAATTGAAAACATAAATGACTTTAAGGGAAAAAGAACAAAAACGTAATAAACGGAGGAAAAAATGTGGCAGTTTCTAATTGTTCTCATTTTCTTCAGCTTCTTTGGCGCCAGTTCTTGAAGTTCAAGGAGGCGGAGCTGCCGGTGAAGGAGTCCGACAAGAGCCACTCCAAACACATCTACCAGACCTTTGAGGTAACCCAGTTAACATTAGTTTCTTCCACTCGTGTTTGTTCCACACACAGCGTTTCACCCATGAATATGACAATATAACGTCTACTTTTCCACAGAGTGCAGTTCACGCCGGTCAGGTTAAGGTACCGCCCGGCTACCACCCCATCGACGTGGAGAAGGAGTGGGGGCGACTTCATGTGGCCATACTAGAGAGAGAACGACTGCTCAGGATTGAGTTTGAGAGGTTAGAGATTCGCGTTGTACGTCGGTAGGAGAGAGAATAGAAATCAGAGCGGTATGGAAGGATACACCGATACCACACCAAAAACAAAATACAACAAAATATTTAGGTATTTTTAAGTTTTCTGTTGCCGAGATACTTAAAAATGGTGATTGTGACACACCGACAACCGAGTCTGTGAGTTAATGTTTTAAAATAGCCCTGCACCAAAAGTTTTCTGATTTTATATGTTGGTAAAGGATGCGGAGGGGACGAAAGGACCTTCAAGTTTATAAAGTTGACCTCTGCCCTCATTAGTCCCCCCACATCCCGCTAGATTGGAGAACAAACAGCGAACCTAACTGGATAAGCAGAGTTCAGAAAAGGTCTTCGCTACGCCATTTGATTTGGAAACAGCGATAAGACGTCTGGGAGAACGACTGAAAGACCTAAATTAACTTTGATTTATAACTTCGCTGTTACTAAATTAGCTTGTTTGCACCGACGATTATCGTCTCAAACGGATGTTGTTGCCGTTTACTTCGCGGCATCAGGTATTTTAATGAAAGACCTGCTTTTCTCATGTTGTTGTTTGGCTGCTGCGACTAAAAAAAGAAATGGATTTAACTCAGTCTAATCATAGAGGAGGTCAGATGATAATTTATAATCAGGCATGGTTAGCTTTATTGTAACTTCATGACTTCCGAACACCATAGAATGTTGTTTCACAGTTTGTTTGTTTTTTGTTGTTTTTTTTTTAAATATTGTACTATTGTGATCTTATCCAGACTGGAGAGGCTGCAGAGGATTTTTGGTAAAGTCCAGATGGAGTCCGGGTTGTGTGACGAGCAGCTCAGTCATCTGGACGGCCTCCTGCAGAAGGTTTGTGTATTTTACAACTTAGTGGGGGGGGAAAAACAGTAGACAAAAAATAGTTGGACCACATGACGATAGGATCATGCCGAAGTCATTTTGCTGTTGCCAAATACTTCAAGCAGTTAATTCATTGTTTAGAACCAATAGAGCGTTGGAAAACAGAATATGTTTGTTTATGAGAAGAAATTAAAAAAATGTTTAAAAAACTTATGTTGAAGGGCTGATGACTCACGTTTCCGTTTTCTCTCTTCCCGTTCAGGACATCGCTCTGCTGAACGCAGGGAAACCAGCTCAGCACACGGCGGAGGTGGACAGGGAGCTGGACAAGGCGGAAAGCACCATCCGCCTGCTCTTCAACGACGTCCAGATGCTCAAGGATGGGCGCCACCCTCAGGCGGAACAGATGTACCGCAGGTGACTTACATCGCCCCTCTCCTTTGAAGAAAAGTGATTTTGAGTCAAGAATTTTGAGTTGATCAAGCTCGGTTCAATAACAGCTGACCCCGTTTCTTCCAACTTTCTTAGAGTCTACCGTATTCACGAGCGGCTGGTGAACCTGCGCAGCGACTACAACCTCCGCCTGAAGGCACCGGCGGGTAAGGTCCAGGCCATGCAGACCCAGCAGACCCAGCAGCAGAGCAGCGCCAAGGTGCGGCCAGAGCTGGACGACGTGACGTTGCGCTACGTCCAAGATCTTCTGGCCTGGGTGGAGGAGAACCAGCGGCGCATTGATAAGTCGGAGTGGGGATCGGATCTACCCTCTGTGGAGTCTCAGCTGGGCAGCCACAGAGGTCTGCATCAGACCGTGGAGGACTTCAAGTCCAAGATCGAACGGGCCAAGTCCGACGAGGTACTGAATGCTTGAGGTGGCCTTCATCGGTTTTTATACATACCCCGTCTCTCATCTTATTTTTTTTTTCATTTTCCTGAACTACAGAGCCAGTTATCACCGGTCAGCAAAGGGACGTACAGAGAATACCTGGGGAAACTGGACCTCCAGTACGGCAAACTGCTGGTGAATAGCTTATTTTAAACTTTTTTTTTTGTATAATAGCATCCAGATTTATTTCCAAACTTACTCAAACCCACCGGATGTTTTTTTTGTTGTTGTTTTTTTTTGTCCCAGAACTCCTCCAAGTCCCGCCTGAGGAACCTGGACTCCCTGCACGCCTTCGTCGTCGCAGCAACCAAAGAGCTAATGTGGCTGAACGACAAAGAAGAGGAAGAGGTCAACTACGACTGGAGCGACAGAAACACCAACATGACGGTGAAGAAAGAAAACTACTCCGTAAGTGGAAACCTTAAAAAAACCAAACAAACAAACAAAAAAAAAAAAAACGCCACTAGTCGTGAATCTAATTCGACGTAGAAGTAAATCCTTCTCACTGCGTGCTTTTGGACATTTGCAAGGGCCTGATGCGAGAGCTGGAGCAAAGAGAGAAGAAGGTCAACGACATCCAGGCCATGGGAGACAAGCTGGTCAGAGACGGACATCCCGGGAAGAAGACAGTGGAGGTGCTGACGACATGCTGGGAAACGTTTTCTACTGCTTACACTTAGCCAGTCAGAGGCTTGCAACAAGCAAGATGAAAATACCTACAACCTCAGTCACTGGCCTAGAGAAAAAAAAGGACAAAACTAATTAACGACAAGTAACTTATCAGCAATATTTTTTCCTTTTAAAAGTCAATTGCTCCTTAATGTTGATGAACAACACTAGTTTGAGTACTATTTTTTTTCACTTGTAACATGTTTTATATGAAGTGAAACCTGAACATTATTATGATTACAAAGTAATAACTTACTCTTAATTCGTTAGTTTTGTCTCATTTGAAGTGCACCAAGACATTTGCACCAGAAACTCAACAAAAATGCTCGATAAGATGTTGTGATTTTTGTCCAAGCTAACAAGCTGTCATCACAATGTCGTGCCAGGCCTTCACAGCCGCCCTGCAGACTCAGTGGAGCTGGATCCTGCAGCTGTGCTGCTGCGTCGAAGCTCACCTTAAGGAAAACATGGCTTACTACCAGGTGGGGAGGAAACTGAATCACTCACCCCAGTCTTAAATCAGACTCCAGCTGTGTTCTCGTGAAGTGTGTGACCGTCTCCTGTCGCCGCAGTTCTTCGCCGATGTAAAGGAAGCACAGGACAAAATGAAGAAGATGCAAGAGAGCATGAAGAAGAAGTACAGCTGCGACCGCTCGACCACCGCCACGCGCCTGGAGGATCTGCTGCAGGACGCCGTGGTGGGAGCACGCTAATGCTCATGAGTCATGGATACTTCACATAATGATTGACGGTGGGAGAAAGACTCACAGAGCCTTTGATTTTGTATTTTTCTGCTCCAAACAGGAAGAAAAGGAACAGCTGAATGAATTTAAGACTTTGCTCAACGGACTGAACAAGAGGTCCAGGTCCGTCATCCAGTTGAAACCCCGTAATCCCACCACCCCCATCAAGGGAAAGACTCCTATTCAAGCTGTCTGTGACTTCAAGCAGCAGGAGGTGAGATTCTTCAACCCAGATACGAGCCTCAGGTTCAGACAGCAGAACTTTAATCTGCCTGATTCGATGTGGTTCAGATCACGGTCCATAAAGGAGAAGAGTGTGCTCTGCTCAACAACTCGCAGCCCTTCAAGTGGAAGGTGTTGAACCGCTCTGGAAACGAAGCGGTGGTTCCTTCTGTCTGCTTCCTTGTGCCTCCTGTCAATAAGGAGGCGGTGGACAGCGTGTCGAGGTAAAAAAAAACCAAAACAAAAAAAAAAAAAAATAAGACCAGAAACAGACGAAAGAAATTTTTCAAAGGATGCTTCTTATGTTTAACCTCATTTGTATGTCCACCCCTGCTCCAGTCTGGATTCAAATCTTCAGCAGATGACCTCCATGTGGCAGATGCTTCACATTAACTTGAAGAGCCTGCTGTCATGGCAGTACCTGACCAGAGACTTCACACAGATACGCTCCTGGAACATCGCCATGGTCGGTTTTAGCGTTTTTTGATAGTTTTTTTTTTTGATTGAATCAACTCAGAAATGTTGAGATCATGTTATATTTCGAAAAAGGGCATTGAGCCATAGTTCATAATAAATGGAATATTTCATTTATTTACAGTTTAAAAATAACATGTCACATGTCTCTCAAAAGTTCACTGTATCACAAGCAAATAAACATTAATCAACCATCCAAATAGATGCATCTTTACACACAAAACAGGAAAACGAGGCTGTCAGAACTCATGTCTCTGTTTTTTTTTTTATATATATATATATATATATCCGCAGTTAAAAACCATGAAACCAGAAGAATACCGGCTGGTCATGAGAAACCTGGAGGCCCACTATCAAGACTTCATGCGGGACAGCCAGGACTCCCAGCTTTTCAGGCCCGACGATCGCATGCAGGTGGAGGACGACTACAACAAAGTCAGCCAGCATTTTGACAACCTGCTTCGCTCCATGGAGAAAGGTAAAACCAGCTTTGCTTTCAGAGAAACGAGACACTCTGTAGATTTTGTGCAACACTTCTGCAGTGGAAAAAAACAAAAACACCAACAAACAAGATTGTCAATTCGCCTTTCAGGAGAATTTCAGGTTGTTAGGCCGAAAGGTGAGTGGTGCAAGGCGAGACACGGCTGATTGAAACGCTTTCCACTTTTGGATGGATGACCAGGCAGAAGCCTTAGCATGTAGACTAGTGTTGGATTTGACAGCATGCTGTTTTGGCTCCCGGGCTGCCACACCAAGTGCATTTCACATGCTGTGAACACTATTTAGTGCTTTTTCTCACGCGGGCATGCAATGCCTTCTAGAAGTGCTCATACCTCTTAAACGTTTTTCCAGTTATCTGGAAGAAAACACTTTCTTGCTAGAAGAAAGTGTTAGTGAGGGTGGCGTCGCTGGCCAGCCTGTGCACATCTTCATGCATGAGCTTGAAGTTTCACATGCACGAATTACGCGGAGCGCTCTGCCGGGGGAGGCTGAGCGACCGTTGCCTCGTCGCAATAAAGTGGCACGCGACATCAATAGAACGTTTTTAAATTAACGTTTAAAACAAAATGGCTTCCTTTAGACCTTCTTGAATATAAAAATCTGGAAATCTAAGAATCTTCAGACATGTTTGGCTTCAGACAGGGAAACATTTTCTTTTTGAAAACTTGCACACATTGTTGGTTTTCTATTTGGGCGGTTGTCCTGGGCGGCATCAGAAAGGGGTGGCGCTCCTATGAACTAGAAAATAAAATATAACTTCCTACTGATTAGCTTTAAGGTAGGCTAGACGTTAACTTTAAACAAACAGGCAGCACTACAACAATTTAGATAATTTAGATAATAATAAGCGTAATAACCATGTATTTTTTGCCTTTTTTAACAATTATGTGACCATTTGTGTTCTTCAATCACTTAAAAGCACAATAAAATGCATTGAGCCTTGTGGTACTAATTTTACATACATATAAAAAACGTAGAGGTATGAATATTTCACAGTCGTAAGGTACTGTATGTACGGTTTTTGATACATGCAACATAGCGTGTGTGACATAGATAAGTGTGTTTTTGAGACTTAACACTCAAAAACCTCGTGAATTGTTGGCTAACATGCGAAAATGCAGCGCAATAAGAAGATGGCTTGACGAAATTAACCGAATCTCTCAGAACATATCGACATGCTTCGTAAAATACATTTTTGTTTTTTTTTTCCTGGCTAAATCTGTTCTCCGTCTACTTTCTGGCCTCGCCGAATTCAAATGTGTCCTCGCAGGCCAACAGGACGAGACCCTGTGCAAGAACTACATCTCCGAGATCAAGGATCTGCGTCTGCGCATCGAGAACTGCGAGTCTCAGACTGTGAGTCGCATCCGCAAACCGCTGGACAAGGAGCCGCTGAAGGAATGCAGCCAGAAGTGGGGAGAGCAGCAGGTAAACCCACAGAAAAGCCACGGCGCTCAAACAAAGTTGGAAGAAGCACGTGTTAGAAATGTGCGGTTGGCAAAAAGCCAAGCAGGAATGATAAATAAATAGGAAAGAGGATGGATGGATGGATGGATGGATGGATGGATGGATGGATGGATGGATGGATGGATGGATGGATGGATGGTGGATGGATGGATGGATGATTGGATGGATGGATGGATGGATGGATGGATGGATGGAGGAGGGAGGGAAGGAGGGAGGGATGGATGGATGATTGGATGGATGGATGGATGGATGGATGGATGGATGGAGGGAGGGAGGAAGGAGGGAGGGATGGATGGATGATTGGATGGATGGATGGATGGATGGATGGATGGATGGATGATTGGATGGATGGATGGATGGATGGAGGGAGGGAGGGAGGGAGGGAGGAGGGAGGGAGGGAGGGAGGGAGGGAGGGAGGGAGGGAGGGAGGGAGGGAGGGATGATTGGATGGATGGTTGGATGGATGGATGGAGGGATGTTCTAATTTCCACTGAAAACTGTGTTAAAATGGAGGAAACAAAGAAAAACATAGAAAAATAAACAAATATTTTTCATTTTTTAATGAAGTGAAAGTTGCAGAGATTATGGAGTCGCTGGCTGCAGTTCCACCACAGATGTTTTCATCTCTTCTCATACACAATATTTAATGACCAAGCATCTGGCTGATTCCAAGCACCAAATCTCAGCACTTATTACTTTAATGCTCCTTTACATCGCCATAAATCACAATAGTGTTGATTATTGTGCACTGTCCTGATCAAAGGACAATAATATGTTTTGTTCCTTTTTTATTTTATTCTTTCGTTTAGATAATAGGCATAGAGAAAATATAAAAGCTGACTTTAGTCTCTTGATTTCCTGCATGTCTGTTTTAATATTGTTACCTCTGGTCTTCCTTCGGTCCACAGAAAGTCCAGGGAGAGCTTGAGGGACTTAAGAAGGACCTGGATAAGGTGTCTGTGAAAACCCAGCAGGTGTTGGCGTCCCCTCAGCAGCCGGCCTCGGCTCCTGTGCTGCGGTCCGAACTGGACGTCACCGTGCAGAAGATGGACCACGTCTACATGCTCTCCTCTGTCTATCTTGAGAAGTACGTTTTTCCTTGTTCTTTACCCACATTTTGCCCTCTGCTCTTCACCGACTGATGTTGCGCTTCTCGTCTCTTCAGGCTGAAGACCGTGGACATGGTGATCCGGAACACCCAGGGAGCGGAGGGAGTGCTGAAGCAGTATGAGGACTGCCTGCGGGAGGTCCAGGCTGTTCCCAGTGACGTCAAGGAGGTGGAGGCACAACGATCCAAGCTGAAGGTGAATAAATGATTCTGATTTTTATTGGTATTTTCAACGGCTCAAACAAAATTATATTCTTGAACTGTCTAAAACGAAGAAGTGGTTTTTATCGTTTCATTAGTCTGAGTAGTTATGCAAAACAAATAAATAGACCCTTCTTGTTTTATTACCGAACAGAACGGTGTTTATTTTGACGTTTTTTAACTAACAACCCCGAAACTGTCACTTTTTCTAACATTTGCTTCAGTATCATGTTCAATAATGATTCTCAGAACAAACTTTTATTGAGAACTAAAACATTTGTGCTCACACTTCCCTAGTTTTAGAAAAACTACCCGACAAATGGAGGAATTTGAGTCTGGAAAAGCATCAAATTTTTAAATGTAGATTTGTTGGAACCCTAACTTTAACACTTCCTAAAAAAGATTCCGTTTAATATTTTACAACACATCGCACTGCAGCAGAAACTTCTAACCAACCTACCGTAATCTCCCACTTCTGCCTTTTGAACCGAATGGATGGTTTTGCTACGATTGACAGAAAATGCGAGGCGAGGCTGAGAGCGAGCAGCCGGTGTTCGACTCGATGGACGAGGAGCTGAAGAAGGCCTCCGCCGTCAGCGACAAGATGTCCCGCGTTCACACCGAGCGGGACATCGAGCTGGACCACTACCGCCAGCTGACCGGCAGCCTCCAGGACCGCTGGAAAGCCGTGTTCACCCAGATCGACCTTCGCCAGAGAGAGCTGGAGCAACTCGGCCGGCAGCTGGGCTACTACCGCGAGAGCTACGACTGGCTCATGCACTGGATCGCCGACGCCAAGCAAAGGCAGGAGAAGATCCAGGCCATGCCCATCACCGACACCAAAACTCTCAAAGACCAGCTGGCACAGGAGAAGGTATGACGGAAACATTTTAATGCCATCGACTTTCTCTAAGAGATCATTTAGCCAAACTCTTTACTCGAACCTTTTTTTTGTTTTAACAGAAACTCCTGAGTGAAATTGAGCAGAATCAAGGCAAAGTGGATGAGTGTCAAAAGTACGCTAAAGCATACATTGATACAATCAAGGTGAGCCTCGAACAAAATAATAGCAGCACACATCTTGCATTGACATACCGAGGATAACTAATGTTTTCATGCGAACAGGACTATGAACTGCAGCTGGTTGCCTACAGAGCTCAGGTGGAGCCTCTTGCTTCTCCTCTGAAGAAATCCAAACTGGATTCTGCTTCTGACAACATCATTCAAGAGGTGCGCCCTTCAAACTGCCGCCGTTTCTGGAGCGCAAGACAAAAAAGAATTTTTAGCTTTTCTGACTATCTTAGTTGTTGGCACTGTCCGGATAGTGACCAGGCTTTTGCTGTTACTTTGAAAAGAGAAAATGATTACGTCGCCGAAACTTGAAATTGCCTTTAACATTTCAATGCTAGCTTTGTTTTAGGCCAGACTATTTGTGGTGTGTATAACCAAAAAACAAAGGGAAAGAGAAAGAGGCCAGGAAAATGTACACCGACATGTCGATGTTAAAACCAGACATTTGACAATTTTAACTGTTCTTACCATGTTAGATTTTAGCACTGTTAGCGCAATTAGCACCGTTACCATTGCTAACAGTAATCGCGTTCTTACTATCACTTCAAAAAGAGAAAACTAATGCGCGGTTAACATTTTAACCTCGTCATTTTAATACCAGTTTTGTCACTAACCAAACCTGTTTGTGGCGTTAAAAGACAGAAAAACATTAAATATGCACCAATAGGTCATCGTAAAACACAATTGACATTTTTAAATGGTGCTATCTTAATTGTTACCTGTACCAAAGTCTGAATAGTACTTTAAAAAGACAATTATTGTGGGGTTAACCTTTTAACCTGTCACCGATACTGAAAGTGGCCAGCTGTTAGCCATCTTCACCAAGTGACGGTATGGAATGGTATTCAGTGACTGGAAAAAGGATTATTTTTGTTTTTTATAGATTATTCCCTCAAGTTGCTAAACCTCAGCAAAATACAGATCGTTGTTCAGAAGTTCATTCATCTCCTTGTGCTGTTTGTTTCTCCCACATCAGTATGTGACTCTGAAGACTAAGTACAGCGAGCTGATGACGCTTACTAATCAGTACATCAAGTTCATCATCGACATGCAGCAACGCTTGGAGGACGAGGAGGTACGTGGCAGCTGGCTGAGGGTCCCAAACAAACTAATCTCTTAACGCTGACTAAACCAACCGACTGACCGAGCAAATGTTCACCGAAACAGCAAACAAACAGCACCAACACAGTTCCCACTGATCACCAAAATGCATGCAGACACACACACATGCACACATGCACAGTCACTTCCAGTTTCTCCACTCCACTCACCCACGATTTACATTTAATGTATGGGAGACAAATTCCTTTGCACCGGTCAAGCATGGAACAATGGCGTCTTGTAGCTGATTGGTTTGTGAGAAAGGCAAATGTTTTGGAAAATGTCACATCCTTAAATATATATATATATATATAAGAAACTCTGTTCAAATTATTGCAGGTAAATGCAACGCATGTATTTTGAGTGTGTTTAAATGGTGTGTGAAATAACCAGATGTTTACTAGTTTTGAGCCACCTCTCATTTCTTTATACTGTTCACCATTTAGAGTTTCCAAGACAACCTACCTAGGTTTCTTTGGCTTGTCTATCAAATTTAAGTAGCTTTTTTTTTTTTTTAAGATTAATAGATTATTTTTATGTAATCTAACAAAAATATGTTTCTGTGTTTGCAAAATTCCTTCAAAAAGCCTGAAGAAATTGTTTCTTTCTAAGACATGACATTTGTTGACTTGGAAGCAGAATATAAAGAAAAACAGGGGCGACTCAACGTCACATTACCGTAGTTTATTTAAAGTTCAAAATGACATCGAGTGGTACAGTGCCATTCATACACACATAATGTACATATTCACCTCCATTCATTGTATATATTTTCCCATTACAGATTTAAAATAAGGGGTTCTTTCTTTCACTTCTCTCGGTTTTTCTCTTGTTTTTTTTATTCCACAAGTCACTTTAAGTCTTTTACGTCATACTCTATTTCCCACCTCTCTTATTCCTACATTAACACAACTTTCAAGACACACATTCTTTCCTAACCCAATGTTTTGTTTGTGTCCTTGCCTCCAATAACTGCTTGCCAGTGCTTTGCCATGTTTGAGCATTTAAGAGGTAAACCTTTCACTGTCTCAGGTACCTGTCTAGTTTGTACTCCTCATTCCTTCTCGTCATTTGTGTTTCTTTTAAAACGCATTTTGGCTTTCGAGTGCATCATTTTTTGCATTTTTGTTGGAGATGCATTGATTAGAATTTTGTGGCTGATCCTCTGCCTTTGTTTAATATGGTTTTACTATTTTCAAGTGCAGACAAATTGATCACAGAATTGACATTATAAACTTTCTTTTGCTTATATTAGGCATTATGTTTCGAGTATCTAAACCAGCAGGATCATTGTGTTGTATCTAGAGACTATAAATCCTTTGCTTTTAAGATTTCTAAAAAGGCAGCCAACATGTCAAAAACATGACAAGTGTCCTGAAAGCTTGAAAAAGTCAAATTGAGTAACTTTGAAGTGCACAGATCAGCCTTTCTGTTAAAATCCTAGTTCACTCCTTCACTCTCTAGTGGCAGGAATGAACTGCAGACCTTTTTCAAAGCCTTATAAAAAAATGTAGTTTCTTCCCAAGTAGCCTTTTCCTCATCTGTGCCTTTTCTGCTATTTAAAAACTCACTGGTTCCAAAACTGACTAAGTCTTTTCATCTTAGAAAGCGTGGAAAAAGATTGTTTTTTTTCCTCCAGCCAATTTCTCAGTGCATCTCTACGTTTTGTTGAAGTCTTCGGTAGAAATCCAGCTTACAGTTCAAACGGCCTCCTTGCCCTTAACATCCATTCCTGCAGGCTTTGCTCTAAATGTTCAGCTTTTTACCGTCAGCGTCTCTGGAGCCTTTTCCGGTGTCCTCACAAACAGAGTTCAACTAACTTGAATGTTTCATCTTTGACTTTGCTGTACCCTTTAATTCTATCAAGTTACAAATAGTGATTTAAAGAACCCCAGCGTTTCTTGACGTGATCACAATAGTCTGAGAGAATGGTGTCTTTAACTTAAATATTGAAAGGATAGGAACATTTAAGCAAATGCTTTAGACTCTTTACGCAGAAAGGTAAATATATATGGAAAACTGTCCATTGGGATTATGTATGTATAACTGGTGAAACAATTTGAGATATAAACACTATAAAATATACGTACGTTGAATGTTTAAAACCATCACGCCAACAATTTCTCAAAGCTACATCCATATTTGCATGCCACGATTTTCTTGCTGTGTTGTGAAGTGACATTTTGTTCCCTTACATTAATTGAATCATCCACATCTTTCCGTTTTTCCTGAATTGTCTTGTCATGATTAATTTTTTGATTTGCATCGTGATTTTTTAACATCACCTTCATGAATGTGCACCTAATTTGCATCAAATGATTGAACTTTTCTTTGAGCTAATTTTAACCTTAACACTGCCATGGTAATGCATCACATTAGCCTGCTCTTAAACAAGTGTGTTTTGGCCCTGATAGAGAATGTCAAGACAATTGTAACCCACACTGTTTTGAGCCGGTCAATGTAAAGTATTACCTTTAACCTGTCATGCTTGATTATAATCCTTTCTTTACCGTTTGCTTCCACTAATGCAGAAAGCTGCACAGAAACTCAAAGCGGAAGAACAAAAAAAGATGGCAGAGATGCAGGCTGAGTTAGACAAACAGAGGCAGTTAGCTGAAGCTCAAGCGAAGGCCATGGCTGAAGCTGAAAAAGAGGCCCGTGAGCTGAAGCTGAAAATGCGGGATGAAGTAAACAGGAGAGAGATCGCTGCGGTTGATGCAGAAAAGCAAAAGCAAAACATCCAGCTGCAGCTGTGTGAGCTTAAAAACCTCTCAGAGCAACAGATCCAAGACAAAAGCCAGCAGGTGGATGAAGCTCTGCAAAGCAGAGTCAAGATTGAAGAGGAGATTCGCTTCGTGAGACTCCAGCTTGAGACCACCGAGAAACAAAAGGCTACCGCAGAATCGGAGCTCAAGCAGCTTCGCAACAGAGCCGATGAAGCAGAGAAACTCAGAAAGGCAGCGCAGGAAGAGGCAGAGAAGCTCCGTAAACAAGTCAGCGAAGAGACACAGAAAAAGCGCCTGGCCGAGGAGGAACTTAAGCGCAAGTCTGAGGCGGAGAAGGAGGCGGCGAAACAGAAACAAAAGGCTCTGGAAGACCTTGAGAACCTCAGAAGGCAGGCCGAGGAAGCCGAGAGGCAAGTCAAGCAAGCCGAGGTTGAGAAAGAACGACAAATCAAAGTGGCTCATGAGGCAGCCCAGAAAAGCGCTGCTGCTGAACTCCAGAGCAAACACACTTCGTTTGCAGAGAAGACCTCCAAGTTGGAGGAATCACTCAAGCAAGAGCACGGCACCGTCCTCCAGCTGCAACAGGAAGCAGCTCTCCTCAAGAAGCAACAGGAGGATGCAGAAAATGCCAGAGAAGAAGCTGAGAAGGAGCTGGAGAAATGGAGACAGAAAGCCAACGAAGCCCTTCGTCTGAGACTGCAAGCCGAAGAAGAAGCGCACAAGAAGACGCTGGCCCAGGAAGAAGCTGAGAAACAAAAAGAGGATGCAGAGCGCGAGGCCAAGAAGCGAGCCAAAGCTGAGGATTCGGCTCTGAAGCAGAAGGACATGGCGGAGAAAGAACTGGAGAGGCAGAGGAAGGTCGCCGAGAGCACGGCTCAGCAGAAGCTCACTGCAGAACAGGAACTCATTCGACTCAGGGCAGATTTCGACAATGCAGAGCAGCAGAGGTCCTTGCTTGAGGACGAACTCTACCGTCTCAAGAACGAAGTCCTTGCTGCCCAGCAACAAAGGAAACAACTGGAAGATGAACTGGCCAAAGTTAGGAGTGAGATGGATTTACTTATCCAGTTGAAATCCAAAGCAGAAAAGGAATCCATGTCCAACACAGAGAAGAGTAAACAGCTTCTTGAAGCAGAAGCCTCCAAGATGAGGGACCTGGCTGAGGAAGCAAGCCGACTCAGAGCCATTGCTGAGGAAGCCAAGCATCAGCGGCAGATTGCAGAGGAAGAGGCGGCGCGACAGAGAGTGGAGGCTGAGAGGATTCTCAAAGAGAAGCTCTCTGCGATCAGTGATGCTACTCGCCTTAAAACAGAGGCTGAGATTGCCCTGAAAGAGAAGGAGGCTGAAAACGAGAGACTGAGGAGACAAGCAGAGGATGAGGCTTACCAGAGGAAAGCCCTGGAGGACCAGGCAAACCAACACAAGCAAGACATTGAGGAAAAGATAGTTCAGCTCAAAAAGTCGTCTGAGGATGAAATGAACAGACAAAGGGCATTGGTGGATGACACCCTCAAACAGAAGCGGATCGTTGAAGAGGAAATCCGAATCCTTAAGCTTAACTTTGAAAAGGCTTCGTCTGGAAAACTTGATCTGGAGCTGGAACTTAATAAGCTGAAGAACATTGCGGAGGAAACTCAACAAAGCAAGCTCAGAGCAGAGGAGGAGGCTGAGAAGCTAAGGAGGCTTGCGCTTGAGGAAGAAAGGAGGAGAAGAGAAGCAGAAGAAAAGGTCAAGAAAATTGCGGCAGCGGAGGAAGAGGCAGCCAGACAACGCAAGGTGGCCCAAGACGAGCTCGAGCGTCTGAAAAAGAAAGCAGAGGAAGCCAGAAAGCAGAAAGATGAAGCTGACAAAGAAGCTGAAAAACAGATTGTTGTCGCCCAACAAGCCGCCCTCAAATGCAACGCAGCGGAGCAGCAAGTGCAAAGTGTCCTTGCTCAACAGAAAGAGGACAGCTTAATGCAGAAGAAACTCAAGGAGGAGTACGAGAAAGCCAAGAAGCTCGCCAAGGAGGCGGAAGCCGCCAAGGAGAAGGCAGAAAGGGAGGCGGCTCTCCTTCGCCAGCAAGCAGAGGACGCAGAGAGACAAAAGGCCACTGCTGAGCAGGAAGCTGCCATCCAAGCCCAAGCTCAAGAAGACGCTGAGAGATTGAGGAAGGAGGCTGAATTCGAAGCTGCCAAGCGAGCTCAGGCAGAAGCCGCAGCCCTCAAGCAGAAACAACAAGCCGATGCTGAGATGGCGAAGCACAAAAACCTGGCCGAGCAAACGCTGAAGCAAAAGTTCCAAGTGGAGCAAGAGCTCACAAAAGTCAAACTTCAGCTTGACGAAACAGATAAGCAGAAATCTGTCCTGGACGAGGAGCTCCAGCGCCTGAAGGACGAAGTCGATGATGCCGTCAAACAGAAGGCCCAGGTGGAGGACGAACTGTTCAAAGTTAAGGTTCAGATGGAGGAACTACTCAAGCTGAAGATGAAAATTGAGGAGGAAAATCAACGGCTTATCAAAAAAGACAAGGACAACACACAACAATTCCTTGCCGAGGAGGCCGAGAAGATGAAGAAGCTTGCGGAAGATGCCGCCAGGCTCAGTGTCGAGGCCCAAGAGGCTGCTCGCTTGAGGCAGATTGCAGAAGACGATCTCAACCAGCAGCGAGCACTTGCAGACAAAATGCTCAAGGAGAAAATGCAAGCCATACAAGAGGCATCCAGACTCAAAGCTGAGGCTGAGATGCTCCAGAAGCAGAAAGATCTGGCTCAGGAGCAGGCGCAAAAGCTCATGGAGGACAAACAGCTAATGCAGCAGCGTCTGGAGGAGGAAACTGAGGAGTACCAGCGATCGCTTGAAGCGGAAAGGCAAAAGCAACTGGGAATCCTGGCAGAAGCCGAAAAACTCAAACTTCAGGTCTCTCAGCTCAGCGATGCCCAGGCCAAAGCGGAAGAAGAGGCTAAAAAGTTCAAGAAACAGGCAGACTCGATTGCAGCCCGCCTTCACGAGACAGAAATTGCCACACAGCAAAAAATGACGGCTGTCGAAAAACTGGAGTATGAGAGACAAAGTACCAGCAAAGAGGCTGACCATTTACGCAAAGCAATCGCAGACCTAGAGAATGAGAAGGCTAGACTGAAAAAGGAGGCTGAGGACCTTCAAAATAAGTCAAAAGAGGTATTGTGTCAAAAATGACATAGCAGAGCAGCTTATGTCATTGTCAATACTGTCTAAATACTAACCCATTTCTTCCTTAAAATTTACTTTGTTCTTCCTTTGATAATACTAATCACAAATCAATATCTTTATTTACATCATGACTTTCATTTTAATTTTCTTACAGTGCACTGTGCTCATGCGGATCATATCCCGAATGCTTTCTGACGTCCTGGAATAATTTTTCATTTTATACCATGTCTCCTTCTCTTTTAATTTCACATTTAGGTTAAATCTGTGAAACCAACAAAAGTATGTTTAAAACCAGACAAAAAAAAAAACCCAATAACTACTAATGGGTAATTTTATAAGCATGTTTAATAGCAGAGATCCACCAAATTTCATGAATTGGACCAAACCAGAGGAACGATTTGACAAAATTCAATTAATCCTTATTTAGGTATATTATTATAACACATTGCAGTGTAAGTAATACATAAACTAAAACAGTGTTATTTATGGATCACAGAAGTCAAAATACTAAAGTGTGTGCAAGCGTGCTTGCTTAATGACACACATTGAAAGTGTATGCAAAACATTTTTAGCTCATTTATATTTGGCTTTATTGCTAATTTATTAATGTCTGATAGATTTTCCCTGTCCCACATTATCCCACTTACATAGTGTTTAACGTAATTAAAAATCTTTATTTTCACATATCATGCGCACGTGTATGTTTAGTCATAGATGTTTTGCAAATGAAGATTTATATCCGTCTGAAAGGCACAGAAAAAATGATATAAGATATGTATGAAACAATAAATAAAACAGCCTGAAATAAAAAAGAAATTGAGAAAATAAATGACCTTGAAGTATGTAAAGTGGCATTTACAAAATAAATGTCGCAAAGTAAAACCCTATTATGAAATTAATAAACAATGAAATGCATACACAAGTCCTTAAATAAATAAATTGACAAATTATGCCCCCCATTAAAAAATTTTCTAATTTTTTTTGTCTTTATTTCATAGGGACATGAGGGTTTATTTATTTATTTGTTTATTTATTTATTAAACAGCATCCTAACAGCACCAAATGGTCAATTCTATTATTCTTAAACAAGCTTGAGTACAACCAATTGCCTTTAGGAATGTATTATACATGATGTATCAATCATGAATTATCATGTGGATAATACTTATGAATTAAACCCAACAATTTACAAAATGATATTTTTCCTATTTTTCAGGTTATATGTATTCTTACTTGCTGACTTAAAGTAGTTACTATATTCTTAAGTCTTCAGAGTCACGGTTGGATTTTTTCCAATTTATAAAAATGAAAGAATAAACTTCACTGTACCAACTATACAGAGAACACATTGTATGTTTTTGTAAAATTATGAAATGGGGATAGGTAATAATATTTAATAACAATACTTTATTTTTTACAATTTATCGTAATAACAATAAGCCAACAATAGAGTTTTAACCTCTTTCCAGACTTTTTTAGGCAACTGTAGGTCAATGCATTCATTGACATTTTTCATGATAGCAATAAACAATCCTGTTATGAAACTATTTCATTTTGGGGAAATGGGCAAATCTAAACCAAGAGCAAAGCCTCATGCATGTGAAATCCTCACAACCTCATCCTCACTTTCAAAGTGCCTCAAGCTTTTCTTCTCCATGTTGCCATTTAGTGTTAGACGTGGTCTGTATTAGTAAAAATGTAGCCTGGTCCTTTGATGCATAAGCAGAGTGCATTGTTCGTTACGGATCTATCAACAAAAGTGTTTTCAAAGCAAATGTATGAGCTATAAACCTGTTCTAACTTACTTTTTTCTGCTCTTCCATTAGATGGCTGATGCACAACAGAAACAAATTGAGCATGAGAAGACCGTGCTTCAACAGACATTCTTGACGGAAAAGGAGATGCTCCTGAGGAAGGAGAAGCTAATTGAAGAAGAGAAAAAGAGGCTGGAAAGTCAGTTTGAAGAAGAAGTGAGGAAGGCAAAAGCACTCAAGGATGAACAAGAACGCCAAAAACAGCAGATGGAGGAGGAGAAGAAGAACCTTCTGGCTACCATGGATGCAGCACTCAGTAAACAGAAAGAGGCAGAGCAAGAAATGCTAAATAAGCAGAAAGAAATGCAAGAACTAGAGAGAAAGAAGTTAGAGCAGGAAAGAATTCTCGCAGAAGAAAACCAGAAGCTGCGTGAGAAATTACAACAGCTTGAAGCCCAGAAAGATCAGCATCCAGGGGGCACTGACGTTGACGCCAACAAAGAACATGTACATTTGAAAACCATTGAGATAACAAAGACGGTTTACAATGGTCAATCTCCTGCTGATATGGTAGATGGTGTAGAAAAGAGACCAGATCCTCTAGCTTTTGATGGTATCCGTGATAAGGTGCCAGCAAGCAGACTCCATGACCTTGGTCTTTTACCCAAGAAGGACTTTGACAAGCTTAAAGATGGCAAAACTACAGTTCAGGAGCTTAGTAAAGCTGACAATCTAAAGCAAATTCTTCAAGGAAAGCATGCCATCGCTGGTGTTTTAACACCAAAAAATCAAAAGATGTCTGTTTACCAAGCTTCAAAGGAAAAAATGATTACCCCTGGCACAGCCATGATACTTCTTGAAGCACAGGCGGCCACAGGTTACATTTTAGACCCCATAAAGAATCAGAAGCTTTCTGTTAATGAGGCAGTGAAGGAAGGTTTGATTGGCCCTGAACTACATGACAAAATGCTTTCAGCTGAAAGGGCTGTTGTTGGCTACAAAGATCCTTACACTGGTGGGAAGATCTCTGCTTTCGAAGCGATGAAGAAAGGTCTGATAGAACGTGACCATGCAATAAGAATCCTTGAAGCCCAACTTGCCACTGGTGGCATTGTTGACCCTGTCAACAGTCACCGTGTACCCAATGAAACGGCCTATAAACAGGGACAGTATGATGCAGAAATGAATAAGGTTATGGAAAAACCATCAGATGACACAAAGGGATATTTTGACCCGAGCACTCAGGAACCACTGACATATTCTGAACTTATGGCAAGATGCTCTGCTGACCCAGAAACCAGCCTGTTACTCCTGCCAATCACAGAAAAAGCTGCTCAGTGCTCTAGCATGTACACAGAAGAGGAGACTAAAGATGTTTTCAACAAAACAACTGTGTCTGTGCCATTCGGAAGATTCCAGGGTAAAACTGTCACCATCTGGGAGATCATCAACTCAGAGTACTTCACTGAAGACCAGAAAAAAGACCTTCTCCGCCAGTACAGAACTGGAAAAATAACCATTGAGAAGATAATTAAGATAGTTATCACTGTGGCTGAGGAGAAGGAGAAGAAGAAGGAAATAACCTTTGATGGTTTAAGAACATCTGTTCCTGCCAGTGAACTCCTGGAATCCAAAGTCATCGATAATGATCTTTACAACAAATTGCTGAAAGGAAATGTATCAGTCAAGGATGTCTCTGCAATGAAACCAGTTCACAAAGCACTCCAGGATACAAACTGCATAGCCGGGGTACTTATTGATTCATCCAAAGAGACGATGTCCTTCTATCAAGCTATGAAGAGGGACATGATGAGGACAGGGCTTGCTTTGAAAATGCTTGAAGCTCAAGCAGGATCAGGCTATGTGGTCGACCCTGTTCAAAATCAAAAGTACACTGTTGATGAGGCTGTCAAAGCTGGGGTTGTTGGTCCTGAGCTCCATGAAAAGCTCCTGTCTGCAGAGAGAGCTGTTACTGGTTACAAAGATCCTTACACTGGAAAGACAGTCTCTCTTTTCCAAGCAATGAAGAAAGATCTCATTCCTAAAGAACAAGGTATCAGACTGCTTGATGCCCAAATGACCAGTGGTGGCATCATTGATCCAGTGAAGAGCCATCGTATACCTGATGATGTTGCTTTCAAGAGAAATTATTTAGATAATGAAATGAAACAGCGACTAAGCAGTCCAACTGATGAAACTAAATGTTTCTTTGATCCAAACACAAAAGAAAATGTCACATACTCCCAGCTGTTTGACAGGTGTGTTACAGACAAAAAAACTGGTCTTAAGCTTCTTCCACTTAGTGATAAAGCAATTAACGATAAAGAAGAAGCGACGTACACCGAAGCCCAAACAAAAGACACTATGACACAAGCAACTGTGGAGCTTGACTATGGACCATTCAAGGGCAGAAAAATGACACTATGGGAGATTATTCACTCTGACTATCTCACTGAAGAACAAAGACTCGAACTGATTAGACAGTTTAGATCAGGAAAAGTTACAATTGAAAAGCTTCTGAAGATCATTATCACAATTGTGGAAGAGAAGGAGGCTAAGAAAAAGGAGCAGTCCAGCTTTAAGGGACTCAGAGATCATGTTCCAGCAGACACCTTGTTTGATTCCAAAATAATTGACAAAACAACCTTTGACCTTCTTCAGCAAGGCAAAACAACACCTAAAAAAGTCAGTGAGAATCCAAATGTCAGTAAATACCTTCAGGGCACTGAGAGTATTGCTGGGATATACTTGGAGCCTACCAAGGAGAAAATGAGTATCTATCAGGCTATGAAGAAAAAGCTCCTAAGGCACAACACTGGGCTTTCGCTTCTTGAGGCGCAGGCTGCAACTGGGTTCATTGTAGATCCAGTGAAAAACCAATGTCTCTCAGTAGACGAGGCAGTGAAGGCAGGACTCGTTGGTCCAGAACTCCATGAAAAACTCCTCTCAGCAGAAAAAGCAGTCACTGGCTACAAGGATCCATTTACCGGGAAGAAAATCTCCCTATATGAAGCAATGCAAAAGGATCTTATACTCAAAGAACATGCCATCCCCCTGTTGCAAGCTCAGATGTTCAGTGGTGGAATCATTGATCCTGTAAAGAGCCACCGGGTCCCAACTGATGTGGCGTACCAGAAGAACATTTTCAGCAAGGAAGTTGCCAAGACCTTGTCTGAATCTTCAGATGACAACAAGCCTTTCTCAGATCCAGAAACTGATGAAAATGCAACCTACAAGCAACTTAAAGACAAATGCCAAAAAGATAAAGACACAGGCCTGTATATTTTGCCACTCTCCAAACCTCAGTCTCCAACCATCGTGGAAAAAACATACCTTTATACAGAAGAACAAACCCAGAGTGATCTTACCAACACCCAAATTGACATTCCAATTGAGGGGCTTGCTGATAAACCAATGAACCTGTGGGATGTCATGAACTCAAACTTGCTTCCAGAGCATGAGAGGCAGAAACTCTTGGAAGAGTACCGTTCTGGTAAAATCACTAAAGAACGGATGATTATCATTATAATTGAGATAATGGAGCAGAGAGAAGTTGTCATACATGACAGTCCATTGTCATATAAGACTATAAGAAGAAGGATAACTATTGAGGAGCTCTACAACGCCCGCATCATTGATCTCGAGACATACAACCTTCTGAAACAGGGGAAGAGAGACATTCGTGATATAATGGAGATGACCAGTGTAAAACAGTATCTCTATGGCACAGGCTGCGTCGCTGGTGTCACAACAGACTCGAGTGCCAAGATTAGCATATATCAAGCAATGAAAAGAGGTTTTCTCAAACCAGAAACAGGCCTTACTCTCTTAGAGGCACAAGCTGCAACAGGCTTTATTATTGATCCAGTAAAGAACGAGACACTCACTGTTGATGAAGCTGTTCGTAAGGGAGTTGTTGGACCAGAGATCCATGACAAACTACTTTCAGCTGAAAGAGCTGTCACTGGATATAAGGATCCATACAGTGGGAAGGTCATATCTCTTTTCCAGGCCATGAAAAAGGATCTTGTTCCAGAGGATTATGCCCTGAAAATGCTGGAGGCTCAAACTGCTACTGGGGGTATCATTGATCCAGAATTCCAGTTCCATCTTCCAGCTGACATTGCCTTGCAAAGAGGTTATATCAACAAGGAGACCAACGAGAAACTCACAGACAGTGTCAAGGGGTTCATCGATCCTGTTAATGAAGATCAACTGTCATATGCAGACCTTCTCAAGAGATGCAAGCTTGAGGGTGGATTGCGACTACTCTCCCTGGGAGATAAGAGGTTAACATTCAAGGGTTTGAGAAAACAGATCACAATGGAGGAGCTGATTCGCTCACAAATTATCGATCAGCAGACTGTCACTGAATTGAATGAAGGCATTCTTTCAGTTGAGGAAGTTAGCAATAGACTCTCAAGATACCTTGAGGGCACAAGTTGTATTGCTGGAGTGTTCTTGGAGTCGAGCAAAGAACGCCTATCAATTTACCAGGCCATGAAGAAAAACATGATTAGACCAGGCACTGCATTTGAACTTCTTGAGGCTCAGGCAGCCACAGGATATGTCATTGATCCAATCAAGAACCTTAAACTTACAGTAAATGAGTCTGTAAAGATGGGAATTGTAGGTCCAGAATTCAAAGACAAGCTTCTCTCTGCTGAGCGTGCAGTGACAGGGTATAGAGATCCTTATTCAGGCAAGACAATCTCTTTGTTCCAGGCCATGAAAAAGGGACTCATCTTGAAAGATCATGGCATCCGTCTCCTAGAAGCCCAAATTGCCACTGGGGGAATTATTGACCCAGAAGAAAGTCATCGCTTACCAGTTGAGGTGGCCTACAAGCGTGGTTTATTTGATGAAGAAATGAATGAAATTCTGACTGACCCATCTGATGACACCAAAGGCTTCTTTGATCCCAATACTGAAGAAAATCTGACCTACCTCCAACTTATGGAGAGGTGTATTACTGATCCTGACACTGGCCTAGTTCTTCTGCTACTAAAAGAAAAGAACCGAGAAAGAAAGACCTCCTCCAAATCATCTGTCCGTAAACGCAGAATAGTCATTGTAGACCCAGAGACAGGCAAAGAAATGTCTGTATATGAGGCCTACCGCAAAGGACTCATTGACCACCAAACTTACATGGAGCTTTCGGAACAGGAGTGTGAATGGGAGGAAATCACAATGACCTCCTCTGATGGCTCTGTCAAATCTGTAATTATTGATAGAAGGTCAGGCAGGCAGTATGACATTGATGATGCTATTTCACGTGGATACATTGACCAGAATTCTCTAGATACATACAGAGCTGGGAACCTGTCCATTACAGAATTTGCTGACATGCTTTCTGGAGGTATGGGAGGCTTCCGTTCACGCTCATCCTCATTTGGCTCCACCACTGGTTCCAGTTACTCCACTTCCATGAGCCCCATACCATCCACTAAACCACCTGCAGTGATATGGAATGACCCATCTGAAGAGACAGGACCTGTAGCAGGAATATTGGACATAGACACATTGGAGAAAGTGTCTATCACTGAAGCAATCCATAGAAACTTGGTGGACAACATAACGGGCCAAAGGCTACTTGAGGCCCAAGCCTGCACAGGAGGAATTATTGACCCTGCAAGTGGGGAAAAGTTGTCAGTTACCGAAGCTACAGACAAAGGCTTGGTTGATAAGGTTATGGTTGATCGTCTCAACCTGGCACAGAAAGCTTTTAATGGATTTGAAGACCCCAGAACTAAGGTGAAGATGTCAGCTTCCCAAGCTCTGAAGAAAGGCTGGCTGTATTATGAGGCTGGTCAGCGTTTCCTTGAGGTTCAATATTTGACAGGTGGACTTATTGAGCCTGATGTCACAGGCCGAGTGTCTCTGGATGAGTCCATCAGAAAAGGAACAATTGATGCTCGTACTGCCCAAAAACTGAGAGATGTCAGTGCCTATTCAAAATATCTGACGTGCCCAAAAACCAAGTTGAAAATCTCATTCAAAGATGCCATGGACAGAAGCATGGTGGAGGAGGGAAGTGGCTTAAGGCTTTTGGAGGCCTCCTCGCAATCAAGCAAAGGCCTCTACAGTCCCTACAATGCCAGTGGCTCTGGATCTGCATATGGCTCTCGGACAGGGTCAAGAACCGGATCCCGATCCGGATCCAGGAGAGGCAGCTTTGATGCTGGCTCAGGGTTCGGCAGCATGAACTTCTCATCCTCCTCCTTCACATCTACATCCAGCTACAGCCGCAGATATTGATTAGCTACTGCTGTTCCTAACACCTTTTGATTAAGAACCAATATTACTAATGCACTTTATAGATGCATTTCTCACAGGAAAAAATAGTTACACTAGTAAACCAAAAGTATAATTTATTTATTCATAATTGCATGTGGTCAAATTAACATTGCCTCAGTTATGGATCTTTCTTTTTCTATATATATAATTTTTTTTTAACAGTAACAGTATCAACAGGTGCCTTTCTTATGAAGGTGTAGTCATGCATCACCAAAAATCCAGAAAATCAAAATCATTTAATACAGATTAACAAGTCAAAATTTTCTAAGACAAAATTCAAAGCATGACATTTCTGCTGCTTTTAAGTGACTATGCTTTGTTTTTGTTTTTGTTTTTGGTTTTGTTTTTTTTTTTTTACAAGTGTTCAATAGATGTACACTAGTGCTTTCTAAGACTAATATATATTGTATGCATACCAAACAAAACTATTTTTCCAATATTCTTTTTTTTCTTCTCTTTTTAAAGCTGTTAGTCATTTAGTGATTTTTTTGTTTGTTTGTTTTATAACTTTATGACTGGTAGTAATGACAAATTGAATGTCAACACAGTTTTAATGGATTTTATCTAAAAATGTATGGATGCCTTTGAAACATTGAAATGTTTGTATAGAGTGTGTAATGATATTCGTATCGTCCTTTTCTCTCTCCATGTGTACACTGTACCCAGTAAATGAAACCAATTATAGCAGTAAAACACTACAAAATGAGACACTATTAGAATACATTACTGAAAAAGACTGTTGTAATCATTCATTGTGACATGAGTTCCACGTTGTCATTACGTTTGGCATTTTGTAATAAGTGGATGAGTGCATTTCTTTGTTGTTGTGCAAACTCTAAATTGTGGGTATCTCAAATTGAACATCAGTCAAGTGTTCCAGCTAAATCCCAAGATGATGTCACACTCAATCCTGCACCCCTTCACAGAGCTGCCTGATTTTGACTTTTGTAAGTTGATTTTATTTTATTTTTTTTGTTCATTGTTCTTTATTTTCATGACTTTGTTTCCCTTCATTGATTTGGAACGCATCTCAAAGCCTTCTTCTCTTGTTTGCCATCCCGTCTCATGTGCTACAACTGTAAATTGCACCTACTCAACTTTTTAGACTCCTGACAGAACGCTTTGTTCTTCGACCTCTTCTGTTTCGATAGATGGATCAATCAGTCAGATTCCAAAGCGTTAGTATGGATACTCAGTTGACCAGAGTGCGCACCTCGCCTGTCTTTGACGGAAATGTGCGTCAGTGTCACCCTCGCACAGACAAACAGGTAAAACGCTCAGCAGTTTCACAAGACATCAATAGCATTCATGCTTGGAAAAACGAAAACTTGTTTTCTATTTCTTTTTTTTTCTTTTTTATTATTATTTTATTTGCTGCATGGTTTGGTTTATTTTGCTCGTCTTTCATAGTGATTTTATTTGTTCCCAGATCCACTTCCTTCCACCATCATGTGTCACATTCGAGGGAAACTGAGACTGAGCGAGCTTCATCTTGGGATGCCATTTTTCCACAAACATTCTCTAGTTGTGTGCCTTTGGCAGGTTATTCTTACTTGAATGATAATAGTGATTTTTTTTTTTCTAGAATATGTTGAAATAAATACCCCCTCCCATAACACAATCTGCACCAACAGACTTGAAATTGAGACACTTCAGCAAAATAAAAGCACATTTTTGGCTTTGGTCATACTTATGTTGATTGATTTATTATAAATCCAGTTAAACCAAAGTGTCAATAATTTCACTAGCATGAATGTAGGCATTTCTTTCAGATTCACTCCTATTATCTGACGTTTTTACAACAGCAACCTGAAAAGACTGCTTCTTGTTTTTGTTTTGTGGTGGGGGTTTTTTCCATACCATGCATTTCTGTTTTGCATCATTTTACATTGTTTTAAACATGTTTTTGTTGTCATAAAGTGCCTTGCACGTTTTATTAACTTTGCTGAGATTAAGAGGAAACATTTTGTCAAACGTAAACTTCTTTTTCTTTTTAAATCCACTTAACTTTAGCATCACAGGCCGATTCTGCTTTTTGGGGGCAAATGCTGCTTTAACGAAAACGATGAATTTTTGATGTATTTGATGATAACATGCTGTAAATAAATATGCGAACAGGACCTCTCGTCATTCATGCATCAGAAGGAAAATATTTGCAGGTATTTCCCACTGATTATCTCCTAAATTTAAATGTAAAGAAAGCTTGAAAACCATCAGTGTTAGCGGATTTCATTTGAGTGAACATCAATTCTATTGGATACAAAAACATACCATTTGAAATATAGTTCAATATAAATAATTAAGCCTTCTCTATGGACCTTTCAGTAAAGTATATTTAATGTTTTAAGACCTGTGAAGGTCTTAAAACATTATGAAATGAAGTGAAGACTGAAAAATGAAAAATTGAATGAAATGAAGACTGAAAAATAGACTCCACCACTTAAGCAGTTTAAATATAACATGCAAGTAGCCGACATAAACCAGTGTTTTTCAGCATTGGTTTCGGTTGCCTTGATGTAAAACTTTCACTATAAGCAGATATGCACATATTTCTAATAATCTGGAATAATCCAAACCAGAGCTGCACTTCTTGGAGCCCGTCTGTCCCACCATCACCTTCCTCAAACAAAGAAAAATGGAAGAAGCGAGCTCTGAAGGAACATGAAAAACATGGACATTTTTAAAACTTCCCTACATTCGTTGTGGTAAATGAAAGATATTTTAAGGTTCTCTTTTTTTTCAATTGTGGACCATCTCTTTACTTGTCAGCATGAAAATAATATGCAGCTGCTAAGGGCCCCCCACCAGCCGGGCGACTTCCAGACCACATGCATGAAATCTCACTGCAACACTTGACTCATGTTCAAATTCTAAACATATATAATCTCTCATTTTAATAAGAAATTTCTAATGTAATAAGCCAGGTTTGCATTCCATTCAGTAATTATCTCAATGGCTCACCAGTGACTTAAACTGGTTGAACTGGAAAATCAGCTAATGGCCACAAGAGGGCAGCATGAGGCTCCTTTTAAAAGAAGTAACAGCGTCTTTACTGTGATCCCTTCTCTACTGTTAATATAGACATGACCCAACAAAAAAGTGTACCTGCATTTTTATTATATAAAAAAAAAATATTTGCCTTAAAACAGTGTAATTTTGACAGTTTAACAATTAGCTAAGAAATATTTAGAAACACATAAGCCAGCATCAGTGGTGGAAACATTTTCTGGTCTCTTTGCCAACATTAGCCCCCTGGTTTGATGGAGGAGCCTGTCGCCAGAAGCAACAGGGAATTTGCCTCACTGAATTCTTCTCTCAGCTCCCTTGACTACTCCGATGCAGCCGCTTTCCTCCCAGCAGCTGCCAGGGAGGTAAGAGCAAGGAGAAGCATGACCCCACCCCCAAAGTTTGGCATGAAACAAAGTTCGACACAGTGTCGAACAGTTGTGCCGACACAAACGGAGCGCAATTAACACCGGCGTTTAAGATATACCCATTTCAGCCAAAAGCTATCAATCTGTTTAATTGAGACTTTATGCAATAGTAAAACACAAGTCTATCCATCAGTACAGCCGTTGACCATACCGGCTCATTCTTGCATGGTTACAGAGGGTTGATGCTCATCTCCAGCAGTCTTTGGGCAACAGGTGAGGTATATACCCTGCAGGAAATACATGCTTGCTTTACATTTCAAATAAACATCTGAATTGTAGAGTGTCTTTTACTCGTGGACCTAAATAAAAATGCGCCTTCTTTGGAAGTCGCTTTGTTCTGTGAACAGAGTCCATCTGTGATTTCAATATAAATGCAACTGTTCAGAGAAGGCCTCTGAGATTTAATAAAGAGTAGTACTAGAAAGCCGGGTCATTAGTAGACCAGCGTGTTTCGGTTTGTGGCCCTCATCGGGGTCGTCCGGTTGTTGTTGTAGTCTTCACCTCTTCAGGTCTTAATCCTTCTTCGTGAACATTGAGAGTCGGTCACTTTGTGCCGGAATAGTTTGTATTGCAGCTTCCTGATGAGAGGCTGAGAAAAGAGAGTGTTAGAGAAGACGCCAAGAGGCCTGTGGTGACTCTGGAGGAGCTGCTGGGACCCACAGCTCCAGTGAAAGAGTGTCAACAGGGCTTGGTGTGCTTCACCAGTCTAGTCTTGACGAAACGGTGTCGAAAACAAAACGTATGCAACGTTCAAGATGGTGCACAGCATGTGGAGAAAATAAATCCTGTTATAGGTTGCGATAGACTCAAGACTGCACCTTCCAGCAGGACAACAACCCTAACTGTGCAGCAAGAGCTCCAGTGGGATGGTTTATATGTATGCAGATTAATGTGTTAAAAAGTTCAGGCCTAATTTCATTTGCAAGCCTTTAGGAAAACTTAGAAACCAGTTTACAAGTTGGTTTATAAGTTCTCTATACTCTGACAGGGGTTGAGCAATCTCGCAAGGAAGAACAGGTAAAAAAAAAAAAAAATTAAAATCGGTGTCTAGATTTACAAGAGGTGCACTCTAAAGACTCAAAAAAAAAAAGAGATGCAACAAAAAGTGTTTCTACAAAGTCCTGGCTGGGAAGTGGTGGTGCGGTGTGAGCGAATACAAATGCAGGTTCGAATTCCCAATGAATAAAAGAAAAATTGCATCAGCTTTCTTCCAGTTCACTATTATCCACTACTTTGTGTCAGTCTAGCACATAAAATCCCAATAGGAACAGTTTCTGGTTATTGTGTGACCTTTGCACTGCACTGTACTTTCCATATTGTTTGTTTCAGGACGAGGGGATTGCTTTGACTGGATCGCCAACATCCCAGGACCAGAAAACCTGGTACACTCCTCTGAAAAAGTTGTTCTGTCATCTTCTCAACTCGAAACAGTGAAAACGTCCGTCGACTTCGAACAGACACGTCGGATGAAACATTTTGGTTCATCAGACGCCTGTGGAAAGCGCTTCTCCACCAGAGCGAATCAGTCTGTTGGTGGCCTCCAGCGGACGGATTCAGCAGAACCCAACAGCCTGTGACGACTGCTGAACGTTTCAGTTTTGTAGATCGTCGTGTCGGCATTTGCTAGAGGCAAAGGAGTGAAAGGAGAGAGTTCAGCAATCCATCAACCAGAGAGAACAAATTCCTACCAAATGAAGGCTTTTAGCTGATTTGACTACAAATGTTTAAATTTCTTTGTTTACCCTGCGTCTTCTCTACCCTGTTTCAGGATGGAGTCTGAGGATTTGAGCCAGTGGCAGTGTGAGTTCAGGGGTCAGATCAGAGCAGTGAGGCAGTGGCTCAACAGTATGGAGAAGATGCTGCCAACTCTGGACTCAAGGGTCAGTTGCGCCTACATTAGTTATGGTAGACCTCTCTTTCACCACACAGCGAGTTGTCAAAAGCCAGCTATTGTGTCCAGTCCTTCCATATTTTCTTTTTTTTTTTAATTTACGTATTTCATACCGTACTTTATGTTAGTTTTTGTTCATTTTACTACCATTTTATGCGATTCGTTTGGAATGAAACATTTCTGGGAAGCAAAGTCACTGGCCTACAGCGGCGTTGCCCCCGGCGACAACATTTTTCATTTTCGACTGTGCTGAAACAACGGCGAAGAGAATGTGAAAATTTACGCTCATGAGTGCTCTATGGTGTTCCTCCTCCGCTCCTGCAGGGAGACTTCTTTAGCCCAGAGGGGGCTGGAGGGGGGGGGAGGAAAGGGACGGAGGAATCGGGCTCCATTGTGCCTGGCCTGGACAGCCAGGCCGGAGAAGCGCCTGGCACTGGAGGGCCTCTGCACACATGATCGAGCACACTGAAAAGACATCAGACACAGAGGAGAGAAAGAGGCTAGAGGGCAAAAAAAAAAAAAAAGAGCTGGATCTTTTCAGTGAAACTTCTCGGATTTGACTGCGTAGGTATTTATTGGTCGCAAACGCATTTCGGTATCAGTCGTTTATGGCTGCTGTTTGTGGAGACTCGTCACAGCCGGGGGCGGCCATTATGCTGTCGGCCTCGGTAAAAACACCTCAGTGGCATTCTGAGCGAGCAGCCATGGTGGCAACGGCAACATTATATTTTTCGCTGCAGCGAGCGGTGTTACCGTAGTTACCAGAAACTGAGTTAATCCTGCTGACTCAAAAAAAAAAAAAAAGAAAAAGAAACAGGATTTCAGATCTCTTAAGATTTATGACCAGGATTGTGATTAATCCTGGTTTGACATTGTGTCCCACACCTGACGTCCGATGCTGCTCAGTATCTACTGTGTTGAACGCCGACTCCACCACCTCCTTGCTGACGTCACAGCCGTGTTGGGACGTGGTGGCCGTCCACCACCAACCCACTGCTGCGTCCATCTGGACCATCCAGGGTTGCACAGCAGTCATCAGTGAACAAGTCTGTTTGAAAATTAATTTACACGACCTTATGATTTTTGTCAGCAGAGATTCTTTCTCTATTCCTTGTTGCTTGAAACCTGTGGCCTGCTTAATAATGTGGAACATCCTTCTTAAGTATATTTCCTTTAATTGAGCTGACCAGAAAAATTAAGAAAAAAAAAAGGAAAATTTCCTGGGATCTAAATCCTCTTCCAAGGCTCTGCTACAGGATGAGACCGATGAAAAGTAAAAATAAAATTTTCTGACAAGTTCATTCTGTTTTCTTCCCCTCCGGGTGAAGAGGTTCCTCATAAAGACCCCTTTTGTGATTCTATGGTACATTCTGCGCCCTTAATCGGCTGTGCAAACATAAATCACCAAGCAGATCCTGGGTGTGGACCGACGTATCGCACGCTTTAATCCTGCTGCCTCCATCTTTGACAGCTAACAAGCAGTGGCCCTGTTCCCTGACTGTTCGCTGACTGTTCCCCAACGGATCAGGGAACTGTTTTTGAAACTATAGAAATGACCAACAAATTCCATTGAGGTGACGCAAATTTATGGGGAAAATAAATTTGCATTTTGTGGTTAAATTCTCAGGATTTGTTTTATTCACTCATTTTGTTGGAATGGGGCCCTCCTGTTTTCCCCCCCCCCATGCCTGTCCCGTTCTCTGGACAACACAGATTTGCGGCTTTAAATCCTTCTTTTCTGGGACGGGTTGAATAAAAAAATGCAGAGCCGACGATGTAGGTTAAACTCTTTCTG